CATGGGCGGGATTTCAAACGGGGCACCGATACAAACAGGCTTCGGCTAAATCTCCTGAGTTTCGATCAGCTTGTTTAGGGTCAGTCTCCTCCCCGGTAAATCGGGGCCTGAAGGATCTATCTCTCTTCTGGCGCGATGATGTCGCTCATGGTGGAATGAGAACCCTCAGAGTGACCGGCCCCGGGCTTTGAAGCATCTAAGTAAGCGGAGGCTTCCCTCACGATCTTATTCCGTCAACCTTTCCGGAGGAATCTGCACTAGATAACCAGAACTCTCGAACCGAACGGGAGTCTGACGAAGCGACAAACACCAGCGAGTGAGAATCCTCCACCTTCAAAGTTGGCGGAGGAAAGTTTTCCTCCGAAACTGACCGTCAGCTTCGGAATCACAAAGAGCGATGACAGGAAAGGGGGTACCTATTTTCAGTTGTCGATTCCATTTGATACTTCGTAGCAGAAAATCGTTCACGATAGCCCAAAACACGGTTTCTTCTGGCGCATTTGGAAGCTTTGCGTCGTCCTTGATCTTGGTCCGCAGATGGACCCAGGGTTACAGCGCTGGGACACAGCATCAGTATTCTTTCATGGATGCATCTCGTCAGGCGTTCTGTCAGAAATTGCTCTCGATAAGAAGGCTGCGGTCGAGAATTAAGTGGTCGACTGAAATGACAATCAATAGCTAGAATCACTGTCTCAAGACTGTGAGGCGTTCGGCATGTACATACATATGTACAATTGTCGATAAACTGATGCTCCACCGATGTCACAAGAATAACGTATATTTCTGGGGATCGTTATCCGAATTTCTCTTTCTTCGGGCCACACTCGAAAGTAAAGTGAATCACTGGAGCGTGAAATCACTTCGTGGAGACTCGAAACGCTCCAGAGCTGTGAAGCAATAGAGAGATTATCTTATAAGCATTGTCCAACATTCACAATGTAATCGTTTGCGGCATCGATCCCGGTCGCATCCTTGCTTTGCAGTGAGCACTGGAAGAACTCCCTGAGATCATCACACCCGATGCATGTCCCCCGGAGCAGAAACAATCCGGCCGGTGGTTCCTATCGATTTCTATAGCTACAAGGGCACAGCAGGGAAATCGTTGGTCGTGGGCATCAATGCTCTGGAGTCGCGGAGCCGACACGGCGCTCTAGTCGGTCGTTTTATTTCTTCTTTGTATGACGCGCCGGAGATGCAATCGAGCACTCCTATATATTAAAAGCTTACTCGAGGCGCATTTCAATCATCCTTACACCAAGTCGCGGACCCGTAGGCCCTTGATCGTATGATGAGCCACCGTACACAGAAGGGCTGCTTAACTTTGCGAACAGCGTGGGGCAGAAGCAACGGGTACCCTCGAGAGCTTCCCGAAGGGACGTATCATTTTCCACTCGAAGGAACGCCGCGACGGAACTGCGCGGGAGGGGCATTCCTGCATGGGTAGCTCAGCGCGCATTCCGAACGAAATAAGGGCGCACTTCGAAATCGAGTCGACGACAATAAGCATGTGCTGCCTGGGATTCAATCCGGGACAATTCTTTTGATCCCTAATACTCCGACGCAATCAATGTCCGAACCAAGAGGTGTCCAAGCTCTTCGGAGGCGTGGACCGTCCTGTAACTCCCCGGCATCACATCATCTAATCACCCGGGGATCCTCCATTCATCGGATCTTATGGAGGCCGGCATAGACCTTCGGAGGTCCATGAGGACCACTTTTGAAACCACAGCCCTAACTCGAGCCCTTCATTCGAGTGCCTCATCAGAGACGTCGACGCGATGATTCAGCCTGGTAGGAATTATCAGGAGTTCGGGGATGAGCTCCAAAATACTCTCGGTCAAATGATCTGCGTAGTTCGAGTCCATTCGTCTGTCAAATGAGTGGTACAACGGAAAATCCGAAAGGACCCTCTCGTTCCCGATTCGCGGGAGGTGTCTCCATGACGAATCATTCTTCCACAAACTGAATTCTGATTTCCCTAGAAGGTCGCGTGAGAGTCGCCGCGAATGTATCCGAATGTCGCTATGGATATACATACACTGTGTAACGAAAGTAGGTATGCGCGCACTTGGAATTTTCCCTCTAACGTTTTAATGCCTGGATGGATTTCGATGAAACTTTGTGGGAAAAGTTTCGTTCCTCTCCTCAGGGGCTACGATTCCACGCGAACCGATCCTTACTAATCCGATCGAGTGGGAAATTCCAATATTTCCCCCGGGAAAAACGCTTCTCCACCCCAAATCTGTAACAAAAGTATGCGCGCACCTCGACCGACGGCGTGTCTAGCTCGGCCAAGGGCGACTAATCGGAGCATTTTGAATATCGCAGAGTCTCATCGCACCTCGATGCGGCCAGAATCGCCGCTCAAACTCATCGTTCGAGGAATGGCCAACCATGAATGTCAAAATGAGTACGACGGGGACCTTCGTAAATTCATTGAGAATCGGATGGTGAGTTTGACGAGCAATTCTGTTCTCATCGAGGTGCGATGAGACTCCGCGGGATTCAAAATGCTCCGATTAGTCGCCCTGAAGCCTTGGCCGGGCTAGAAACGCCGTCGGTCGAGGTGTGCGCATACTTTTGTTAGATATTTGGGGTGGAAAAGCGATTTTTCCGGGGAAAATATTGGCATCTCTCACTCGATCGGGATATTCTGGATCGGTTGACGTAGAATTAGGTTGACGTGGGGAGGATTTTTATCGAAATCCATCAAGGCGTTCAAAAGTTAGGAAAATACCAAAAGCGCGCATACTTTCGTTACACAGTGTATGCATCAAACTGCATGACTTTCGGTTCTGAATATTTCTCTGTTTCCCGGGCGCAAATCCGAGATCGCAGTGTGAGCTTCCGTCACAGGTGGCAGATTTATCTTGCATATATCAGGTTATTGTATCCTTAAATAGACTGAGGGTTTCCGCGATCCTTCAAATGAGTTTTGCCTATTTTCGTTACAGAGCCTAATCGTTTTCCCGAATGGGAAGTTCCATTCAGAAAACGATCGTTGACTTTATTTCTGATGGCGGTGCGAAAAAAACGACAAGATGTAATCTATTATATTCTCAATGCCCCATAATGCTGCGTAACGTGAGCGCGCTGATAGTGCGATTAGCTTCGTGAGTGATCCCGTCGCCTCGATTGCTGCTAAGTATAATATACACGCTCGGAGCGACAATAGCAGCAACGCTGAGAATTTCTGCGGTCAGTGTACGCATCGATCTTTCTCCCGTAATTTTCTGTACTGGGTCATGGCTACGGGCATTCAATGAAGCTCCAATTTGACAGTAACCATTACGTTTTGATGTTGCGCTCGCGGTCACGTATACGTAATTGACACATGATCCAAGTCATATCGATTCCGAGCGTAAACAGTCGATTCCACTTGGCTGGCTATAGCGATGAGTGGAGTCGACTCGGGAACTCCGCGAACTTTGTCGCTCACTCATGAGAACACGCGAGCACAAGGAGGGACCTGAGAGCTCACGCAGGTCTCGTGAACGGTCTCATTCCAGTGGATAAGAGAAGAGGTGAAGTGAAATTCGAAGTGACGTGTCAAATATCGCCATTTGAATAACATGCGTCCCGAGGCATCATCGATATGTTATGCACATGAGCGTAATGCTCCGGTTCTATGCCGAGGCACGTGGCGAGCTTGAGATGAAGGCAACTAGAGGGAGACCTTGTTCCTCCGTCGTATGCGTCGGAACTTGGACGCTGCTCCGTACCGCGGATTCGATCCGCAATCTTTTCTGGAAACGACCCCGCCAAGCGCGAGCCCGGGCCAGAACATGTAAATAGTGATCCAGAAATAGTCTGGAGGACCATTTGCCTTTGAATCGTGCGCCGAAACATTACGGATGAATGCCGCTCGGAAGCGAAGCTGAAGGAGAAATATACATGTTTGGGAAAGAACTTGGGAAGTGACAATCAACGAGGATTTGAATGCTCTTGGCGGTGCGCGAACGAGAGAACACTCCGAGCAAGAGAAATCCGTCTCTCGCGCGCTCACCGCTTCCCGATTCGTCATATCGAGGGATGACAGGGCACATTTTCATTGTTTCTGTCATACCTGTAGGGCATTGAATAAATTCACTATTGGGGTGATATGCTAGCAATGACTTATCAGATGCAGTATGAATCGAAGCTAACTGCTGCGGAGTTCGCCTGATGTCACCATCGGTGATCGAGATGCCTTCCCCAAAGACTCCGATGCGGACGATCTCAGAATTCCGCCACGAGATTCCTCAGTCGATGCTCAGCGAGAAGATGGGTGAATGAGCGGGTACCTTGAGCTCATGAGCATCTCGGACAATATATCGTGGAAAGCTTGATTAGAATGACGGTACATGATATTCTCTCGACGCAATATTTTTTGGAAGAATCTGCCGCGGGATTGGAGCATTACGACGGCGACGTCGACCAATAATGGTTATTTTGATTCCTTCGCACGGTTCGGTCTTCGTCGTCCCTCGATAAACGGTGGCCAGCTTCCTGAACTTCCCCCATCCGATCGACGGCCTCTTCTGAGCGGGAGCATGGTTTTCCTCTTCGTATTTGAATCCCGTGTCCGCGATTCGATTTTAAAGAACGCGGGAGCATAGGCCTCGGACACTTCACCGGAGCGGCATCCCTGAACGAGTATCCATCATTCCCTCGGAATGTCTGAACTTTTCATGCGGAGTGGAGAGAAATTCTCTTTCCAACCTGCTGAACTCCCCATAGATGGTCCGTCTTGCATGTTGTGGTCCGACCCTTTGCTCTTACCGTGGCAAGAGCGAGTGTTGTCACTGACGGCGGGCGATAGTGGCAAGGGCCGGTCGGAGGCTCGAAGATCGAAATAGTTCACGCATCGCTGAGGAATATTCGATTCCAGCCTCGACGTTTGCGAAGTGTGTCCACGGATCGTGCACAGTTCGAGCGAACGCGTCGTAGTCCCATAGGAGAGTCTGACGTCTGACATACCGAGTGATTCTTGAGAAAGGCGACCCTCCAGTGTGATAGAAATGTTTCTGACAGGACTGCCGCGATGGGCGACTTTCATTCTGCTGATCGCGTCCCTGGTGCTTTTTTCGCTGGGAATCACCGGTTTCATTGTCATACCCAACATCATCGGCGAAAAAATTAGCGAGGTAAGTCTAGAATTTCATCCCTATTCAGCTCGCAGAGGATCGCTGGAGTTCGGGATCGACCGACTGATCGGCCCCTGAAGCTCAGATCAGGGATTATCTTTTTCGCCATGATCAACGAAGACGTGAAGGCGCATAGAAAGATGAAGCATTCTACCGAACATGTGGTTTGACTCCAATTACGTCATCCGTCTACCCATGCGATCTGGAACAGCCCGTTATCTTCGGAACTTTGGCGTGATCTGGGGAACGGCGCGTTTTCGGAACTGCGATAAGTTTCGGAGAGCTCCGTTTTGGGGTTTACGAGCCATGAGTTTCGTCTTCTGCGGCACTGGGAAGTGCACGAGGAGAATCCTCCCGTTTCCTGCTCGGATGCTCTCGCGATGGCTTCCTCTGAACTCATTGTAGAGCCTTAACGAAACAGATGATGACAAGGGTTCATATAATATCCATCGGAGACAATCCACCAGCGGAATTGGATTCATGCATACAGACGACTCCTCGTTCATTTGGACTTCGGCCAGAAACATTTGAGTTTGACCCGAATTTCGCCCATTTTTGTCGAAAACATCGTGTCGGAGAACTCGGAGAGTCACCGTTGCCAGGAATCAGGTACTTCTTCGAAGTATTGAGTGACACCTGTCAGGAGTGTCGATACGATAAGAAATTAAAGTTTTCCTTCCTGATCGTTTACTGTCAGAGGAAAGCGTTGGACGACGAGGAGCTGCGGGACGCTAGTTCTCTCGATGGCTCGAATCGGAGTCCATCGTGAACCCGCCGAAGGGCAAGCCTGAAGATTAATGATTCCCTGAGGCAAACGATTGAAACGACTGGAACTCATGTCTTCAGCTCAGCCAGAGTTTTATTTGCCGGCGATGCTTCTCGGCGGATAAAAATTTTCGTACCGAGGTCTTGCTCTCCCGGAACACTCGCTAGTATCGGAATCCGAAATAGAATGTTTAGCATTTTTCGAACAAGGTTGACTTGAAACGCGATCATTCATGATGCTCCAACCTTCGAATTCCCTCACCTTCCTGTCCCTCTTGTTGACATATCGCCCGCTTCTCAATTAATGGCCCGCTCTGCCGAATTCCGGAAATAATTTGCGATCTTAGAAACTCACGAGGCACGAGGCGCTTTTAAATGAGCTTTCGAGGTTTCCGAGCCAAATTCGCTCGCTTATCAGCGCTAGTTCTTATCCGATTGCTCCAATCGCAAGAAAACCCAATGTATTATAAGATGTGATTTTAAGTGCTTGCGCGACGGAAGATAGCTGAGCCACGTCATGGATCGTTCGGGGAAACTTCCGTTCAGGGATCTTCTGCGGGGCCAGAAATGGATCGCAGTTGAACCATGCGACGAGGATGAACGGGGTCGACATGTTCCCTGGGAGCTGTGTCACAATGTTCGGCAGCGAATTTCAACTCCTTTACAATATTGAGGAACTTGCCCCCCCCCCAAGAGGAGCCCCTGATCCTGGGGGCTCGAGTCACGTGAACTCCGCATCTCGAAGCAACGGGAATCCGCATAAAAAAAGATTCAGGGTCACTTACAGATTGATGATAGAGAAAGAGAGATCGCTAGGAATATCGAGGTAGCGAAGACAAACGGGAATTGAACCGGAGCGAACAGACTCGTATCGGAGATTAATGGCTCTCTCTCGCATGAACATGTGCGTCGCTCGGCCGGCTGATGTGATCGTCAAAAACATCATGGAGCTATAGTCCGTAAATCACATGTCAATGAGCTCATTCTGCCCCTAATCAGCATGTTGCCAGCAAGGGTCTTCCAAAATAGCAATCGAAACTCGTTGATATGCGTGACATTTTCGCAATACCGGTGGCGAGACAGACCGCCTTCTAGATGTCGGAATCGAAATTTATCATGTGTCTACCTCGTTCAGCAGACTAGACACCAATGGGGTGAGATAACGCGTTTACCCGAATCTTCCAGAACCTCTCGCGCTTCTGCTGCAACTCTTGCCGCCTCAATCAATCGATTCGACGATGGGGATTGAGATCCACGTCGAATCTGAGCTGTTGTTTATCTAACGACTCCAAGAGCGAAGGGGCAAGCCTTTAATAGAGCGGAAGAGAAATTGGAAAAGCTCCAACAACAATGAATCGGTCTGTAGATTACATGATGCGAAATGATGATGGCTGGTCGCCGATAATTGATCACGGCACATTGACGGCGTTATTTCGGTCGTGGACGCCCAGATGTGCCGATCGAGGATTCAGTTATTTCTTGGTCGCGTATACTTTCCATTGACCTTGGAGCTTGTTTAATGGGGCTCACGCTTCTTTATGATGTCGAATCATCGAAGATGCGGAATCGGCTCCTCGTCTTTCTGATGGGGAGACTTTCAACAGACGACGTGAGACTGAGAACATTGAGATGCATATCTAAATGATCTATTCAGAAGATGGAGGAACTCGATAGGACGGAGACCAGCCCAAAGGAACAACTCTTCCCTCCAAGTGCGATTCGCAAGGTGCATTTCTAGTTCGCCGATTCGGTGACCGACCGACGTCCTCCTTGCGAAGAGCGAAACCGAAGTCACGATTTGACAGGGGTTTTTGACCGTTTTCCATGTCACTCCTTCCCTGCTCGAGAACAAATATCCGCTGCCCGATCGTTGACTCCGGACCAGAGTAAAATTCGAGCGTTGACTTCAATCGTACGGACGATTTCAGAAGATACGTACGTAGCCGACAATGAGTCGAGGCCATATTCAGAAAGTTCGCTCACGAATCTGCGAGACATCCGAGATTCCGACGTCTCTTTGCTCTCTTGGCATACTTCAAAAACATCAGCGTAACTGTTGAGATCATCTGTGTTTGTTGAGAGTAGTCAAACTTGTGTCTGGTGTCACTTGGGTGTCGTCTCGTACGATTTGTCAGATTTCCAAATTCGGAAACACCCTGATCGGTCTCTTAAGAATGCTCCTTCAGATCGGGCCACCAGTAGCTGTTCGTCTCTTGGGAATATCGAGATTTCGGAACCACCTCTGAGCGCGATCTGCCCTGGAGCTAGACGTCAAAATATCCTAGAGCGGCGATACTGCCTAGCAAGACGTAAGATGAAGGTCTTCTTCTAAACGCCGGAATCGTTGAAAGATGCAGTTCCTGGCGTGCTTCGATTCATGCCAACGATATCGGCGGTTCAGCGACATTGCCGACATGATGTAAATAGTAACACGCCAGTAGCATTCTAGACGAAGTGCAATGTAATCGTATGCGGAACCGGTTTGCCTCTCGATGATCATTTTCTGTGTATAGTATCCTTTATTGTTAGGCGTTGTTCTGGGGGCTCAAGCCGCGGCTGGCTGTACGGATCCGAGGTCGTGGAAAGCACCGAACTTCAGCCGAAGGGTCCGAATCCACAGAAGATAAACAAATGAAGCTCCCGTGCGTACCGGAAAGACATTCCCCTGAAAATCAGAGAACTTACGTTCATTCAGCAACTCGGGGAAAAAACAGCGGAGAAGAGAAACGCGCGGAACTGAAGCACCACGGGTCGCGTGCGATAGCCCCTTTAGCGGACACCTTCGGGGATCGCTCTTTTCGTTCAGGAAGTGAATCCCGGAGCGAGTGGTTGTCAATATTCCTTTCCAAGTAGTAGAATAGATTTTTGATCGAAAGCAGAGCGCTGACTTCGATCCGCGACGGGTCCGCTCGCATTGAGCCCAAAGGCTCTGTGTTTCGCGGACCATTATTTTCTTTGTCCGCAGCCATTCTCGAAAGCAGAAATCGACACATTAGACGACTGTGCTGAATGGAGAAAGAGGAACTACGCTATTCTGCGAAGAACTGACCTTTTCGTGGATCGAAGCAAAATAATTGATGTCGCATTCGATCACTTACCTAAGTTGCCTGACGGCCTATAATGTCCAGAAGTTTGTAATCTGATTGAGCCAGACGTAAGTACCTTGGCCAGAAGGTTGATACAGCCAGAAACGATGCGATGGACACGGGACGGCTGACAGCGACGCGGTAGCGCTGACAGCGACGCGGTAACGATCAAAAAGGAGCGCAGCTCGATTGACCGACTCAAACCGCAGACACCTTGCCCTCGTGATAAGTTGCGTTCGGTCTTCGATACGCTCCCTGCTCTTACGTTCGACAGCATGGGGTATGACTTCGCAGCATAACGTCATCGCTGTTAGCAGTGAGGTAACAGCTCGCGTCGAGTAATCGCTTCCTTTTGTGGAACTTAAGACGCGCGGACGAGGCCCTATACCCGATCATGCGTCTCGAGGATTCACTTGTCAAGGCAACTTGGCAGATGAAACGCTCCAAGTCGGACCTCGTTCTCGTACCATCCAAGTCCGCAATCTACAATCAGGGACAGCATATAAGGTTCGAATCAAGTGACGTTGTCGCTGCATAAATCTCGCGTCTCAATCTCTAGATATCCCTCCAAGTTCACGCCTGAACGCGACTGTCCGAGATGGCGTTCGAGAAGGTTTCGTCTTGCTTCAGTCGATGCTGAAAAAAAACACTTGAGCTCATTCACTCGAGGAGGATCGGAGATCAAGCGAGATCACGCATTTGGCGGTGTCTTCACGCCGGATGATTGTTTTTACGCAAAAATATCAGCGGACTTCCCGGACAAGAGATACGATTGGAATGCGGCTGAGGAGTAGGATCAGGAGCAGGTGCCAGGTGCCGAAACTCAGTCAGCGGGCCTAAGGAGCCTCCCCGCGCCGATAAATATCTATGCAGCAGATTAACTCTGCGAGATGCTATCATTTGGCGAGATGCAGCACCGGGGATCCGCCGGATGCCGTATCCGCTTTCCTATCCGCTTCCACCGATGCGATGAAGCTCGATCGAGCTCGCTGAATCCAAGAAAAACCTCGCTCCCGGATTCGATGTCGGGAACCGGGAATTTCGGTGTGGAAAGTCGTTTTTCTGGTTTTCGAAATTCGACTCCCTTGACGGGCGTAGTTTATGGATGACTTCTGTGAATGCGTCTCATTCATGATGCCCGCCGAGGATTTCTTCTGCTAATGACATGCGAAATTCTCGACCTTGCGTTTAAACGAGCAGCTAGGCGTCGTTCGTCATTGGCTGGCTGACACCCAAGCAGGTGATATTTCTCCGATCTCCCCTTAGAGCCCATCAATGTCTTATTTAAGGCATACATACACAGTTTATTTTCATCGTCGCTCAAATTCATTTGTGCCTCAACTCATCTGTCTCTCCTTCCGCGGATCAGCTAAACCAGAATCTCTGTGGCTGCCGCGACGATTGGGCGATCTCTCGTTTGCGGATGCCCCTCGATGAACAGACCAAATATCGGGCGTTCCTCTTGCGCTCCAACAAGCTCCAGAGATTCGGCTCAGCTGATTCAATGCTCAGTCGAGGGTTGTTCGTGGGTCGATATTGACTTTCTTCTAGACGGCTAAGGTTGACATCTCTCCTGAGGGCAGCGGGGAGAAACGGCAACTAGCGTGATTATTTTCGCGGACGCGACGAACGCGCTAACATTACTTGTTCCTTTATATTTTTGTTTCGCTCCGTCCAAGGTTGACTCGTCTATTGATACAGCCATTCTTCGGAAGACGATGACACATGAAAGACAATGGGTAGCAGCGATGCCTTGGCTCTAAGTACTTTCGCTTCCAATTCATGAGACATACGCGGATCCCTCACGATTCCATTCCCGCTCATTTCGAATGTCGAGATCGCCGAATTTGCTGCCGCTCAGAGGATACTCCAGGAGATCGATGACCGACGGACCGAAACCGAGAGATCGTCAACACAAACGCTCGAGAGTTCACAGATCGTCCCGGGGAAGTTCCCGCGATTTCCCGACCGCTCTCGCCGGGGCGCACAAACAAGATGTAAATGATGAATGGCCCGGGCTGAAAACGCGGAAGTGTAAAATTTTACGAGTTCTGAAACAAGAAGAGGCAGACACCCTAGGAAGATACGTCGTCGCCGCCGAGATCGAACGTGACGCACCGGCTTCGACGGGGCCAGAAAATTCTGTCATTTTGCAGTCAGTGTTTCCAATGGAGTGGCTCATTGGAGCCGTTTTCTATGAGGGAGTGCTTCATTTCGTGGAGCCTGCTCCACAAGTTGCGATCGTTGGCATCGCCCGAGTCTCTTGTGACGAATCGAGTCCTCTTCAAATCGAAGTGTAGATCCCTCAATCAACTGCAGCGATGTCGTTATACGGATCATCTGGTAGAGGATGCACTCAATGGTGCAGCTTCCGCGTTCGTGTTTGATGTGTGACTTGACGCGTTCGCTGGGTGCTGCTGTTCGCTGCTGCTCGGAGCGCGGACGAATACATGGATACCAGATCTCAAAGCGTGAACGTCAAGTTCGAAGTGTGCAACTGAGAAAGAAAACTGTTCCGATCATGACGTTTGATTTCTCAACGCGTTTTGAATTCGTTTCCGGAGTTTCTGTTCTGCATTTTCATCAGAAGTCTTTTCTGACAAACTCTACTTCCATCACAATGTTTGATGCTCGCGAATGGAGCAAATGAATTTATTGTGAAGAAGCAACTTTGACGTCGACAGTCGGAACACGAAAAAACTTCGTCTGAAGTACAAAATCCGCGATTGTGCCGATGTTTACCGACGCGACGTCGAACAATACAAGAGCATTGTCTCTCCACGGAGCTTTCCGGATTCGAGGACAATCCTCTTCTACCAAACTCTGTGCATTCGATTCGGTCTTCCGTAGCGGAGCATAATGACGGATTTTCCTCCGTAGCTTTTTTCGGCGTCGAAAAGACAAAAACATGTGAACATGCGATTTTCGTCAAGGAGTATGCGGGAGGTCAATTTGGCGAATCAGGGAAGAAATCGATGGACAAGATAATTCGCTTCAAGAATTCCCTTCACTGCCTCGGTGGTTCACCGTAATCACTGGTCTTGAAGTTGTCTCGCGTCTATCGTCTTCTACTCATAGCAAGGAGCCTGTTCATCCTAATCCCCTGGAACACATCAAGTCCTCGCTTACCTTGAGCATGTACTCTGACCGAAAGCCGTTATGATGATTGATTCGCTGGTTTTTCCCGCGGGCAGAGTCGGGAAGTGCTCATCATCTCATGAGCTTATGACAGGGCACAGAAGAGGAAATCTCGAACTTTAGTTGGAGGAAAGTTCCAGTCAACCAGATAAGCTGCACCTTGATCTCCCGAGATTTTTCCAAGGCAAACCAGCGACACAGAGGGGATCTATGACGTATCCCACATAAATAAGGCTGATAGCCGTTCCTGGCCACAGATTTGCGCTGTCCATATCCGAAGCGGATTCGACGGCGGAGATCAGCAGGACTAGATTTACAGCATCCCTTAGGGGGGAACATTGGAATCAATCCTCGGACGATCTTTTCCTCCACGAAGACGTCACGACGAGCACAGATGTTGGCAAAGCCACCGCTGTGCCAACTTTCGTCGCGTCATTCTCAGTCGGAGTCGGTTGTTTTCGGATCTCTGCACGCCGGAATACATGCCCTAATAGATTTTTCCCTCCCTCCGAGCTCCGAGAGTAAATGAATTTCGATTATTCTACGTCAGCTGCATCGGCAGAGCACTCCATTTGCATCCGCCGCGAATGGTTGCCTCCGAAGAGACTCATCATTTGTCTTAGTCAGCCAGAAGAAAAAGCTGATAACGACTCCCTCCATTGAACGATTCGGAATCGCACTTGATTGTTCGCCTACGTCAGTCGGCTCTGGTCCAGGATGTACGATCTTTGAGCTGCCCAGCTCATAATATTTCCCTTAATTATGCGACTTTCCATTCCTGAACGAGTCGAAAACGAATTCAATCCTCGATCCATCGATGATAATTGGGGCTCCGCCAAGAAAAATGACCAACGTCAGAACACTGCTGGGGGGAAAAACAGAGGTGATATCACACTTCGAAATTTTTTTTGAAGTCTCCCACAAACACTCCATTTCGTGATCGTTTTCCATCCGGAGAACGCATGCGGAGTCGCTCGTAGAAATACGGTAAAATGCCAGACCTTTGACGTCATGTTTTTTGAGCCATAATGGAGACTCTCCGTTTCCCGAAATTGGCCGGCACCTCCGGAATATGGACTGCTCCAAGTCGGAGTCGCGAATTACGATTGTGACATGCGGTGGGAATTCTTACACGAACCGCCTATTGAGAAAGTTTCTGGGCTTTGATGGGGCATAGAAGCCAGAATCACTTGACAGAGACACTGATATTTACATTTCACTTTTCTTCGTCGTTGTGGTCGTCGCCGCTTGTTGAGTTGTTTCGTCGGGAATGGATTGTTCTTACCTTTTTACGATGTTACAGAAATCCACGCATATATTAGCATACATAGATCCACCCATGGCTATAAATAGACGGGAGGAAAAGGAATACACACGTTCGGTGGCAGGTTCCCGCTTCCTTCAGTCCCCACGGCGAATTACTCACCTGTCGGGCGGGGGATCTGGGCGAACAGTCGGACACGCTGATCCTCGATTCTCAAGAAACTGAAATTATGGATAATTCTTTCGAATCAGCGCTTTCAAATACGCGGATAAGGACTTGTTCGGATGCGAGGTGAAAATTAGGATACCAATGTAAATTCTCATGATTCTAAGTTAATTCAGCCCCGAAGCCATTCGAAGAGTGGGAGCGTAGATTTGCGATCGAACGATGAAAACCGTTGCGCTAGACTGCCTCATCAGATGGCACTGCATCGCTGGCTCGCTCCATGCTTGGATCAAGATCTCAGAAACACTAGATGTTGTTCATCTTTGCGGCGTTCCCCGCGTATCAGATCGAGGTCTGACCGAAGCGCTCGTATCACTAAAGCGCCATGGGCACGTCGTCGCTCATGACGTCCGATGGACGTGGACTCTTCGGAGATAGGCCTTCGTTCGAGGTAGCGACGTCTAAGTGAGACGAACGTAGGAGCACGATATTGCGGATACTCATCGGTGCCGCTCTGAGGAAAACAATTTAAGACGACCACAAGTACAGAAGAATGATTTCTCTCTCAGCGTATCGTACGTCGAGGTAGCAACAATTGAATTCAGCGGAATCGGATGTTCGGAGCCCATGCCAAAACTTGGCCAAGATCTAGAATGGAAGCACTTCGAATCCAATCGATCAAAAGTATTCGAATCTGGAATCGCTACTCGTGGAAGCGATATTCGATGATTCCGTTGGGAAGTCACATCCCCTTTAGATACTCCGCTGGCGGTCGATGAGGCTGTCTCCTCGCTGACTGACGAGGGAAGCCTGATTCTCGTTTTGGAAACTCAAAGAATTTGGAGAGTCCTAGAGTATAAGCAAGCGACGATTCGATTCGAAGTGAGCTGGAGTTACATCTCTCGTTTTTTTTTCAGCAAATGCGACTCGTTGAGGACAGTCCCACCCTGTCGCGTTGGGCCAATGTCAGCGTACCGATATACTTCTCGGTATATGTCTTCAATGTGACGAACCCTTCCGAATTCATGGCTGGAGAGAAGCCAATAGTCCAAGAAGTGGGACCGTTCACTTTCATTCAAAAACGGCGGAAAATCATCCAGAATATCGACGCCGATTCGGTGAGGTTCAAGAAGCCCTTCCTGAATCAAGCGTGATGTGTTTGTGATGCCACTACCGAATCCTTGTGTAGATGATCAGTGATAATCCATTCGGGATGGTCGGAGCTCATACGTGTAAATCGGAATCTGATCGCCCCGAGGGATCTCGGACTTCCTCGGAGAGTTTTTCAAGATTATTCACGAGATGGATATCATTTCAGGTCAACTACCTGTCTTGGAAGTCCTTCATCTTCCATAGGGAGCTTTCATCGGGCTCGCTCGACGACATGATTTATACGCTCAATATCCCGCTCATAGCCATGGACAAACTCGTCAGCACAAAAGTTCCGGGAGATCTGGGAAAATCGCTTCTCCAGCCCATCTTGGAAGGTCTTTTGGATAAGCACAATGAAAAACTCCGTGAGTAGATGGTTGTGACCTCGATCAGGACACAGAGTCATCCCGATTGATGACTTGCGTACTTTGGGGAGTCACCTCTAACTCGACGGAACATAGAGGTATCTTATTCGCTTCCTTTCCAGTGGTCCACCGTCGCGTGAACCAAATGCTCTTCGAGGGTTACGATGTGCCAATGCTGACTGAGCTCGCAAAGCTCGCCACGGCGTTTATTCCCGACGCGAAATTCCCTGCTTCAAAGAGATTCGGACTCCTATACAACAAAAATAACACAGCGGACCAGTCGTTCACGGTCGGAACGGGAGCCGGAAAATATCCGTTCACCAATATTCTTGATTGGAATAACAATACGTAAGATCGTTGAAACAAAACGTGCTTCGGCTCGTTTCGTCAATATTGCGACCAGGGTACCCTACGCAATTTGAACTAGACGTGTCCCTTGTCGTATCGATGAAGTCCCAAATATCTGCTCTCCGAGAGCGACCGAATTTACCTTTTTTTTCCAGAGAGCTCGAATTCTGGGGTAATGCAGATTGCAATAGAATCAACGGAACAGACGGAGGCCAATTCCCCCCATTTGTTCGAACGTCTGAGAGACTTTACGCTTTCGCGACGGATTTGTGTAGATCCATCTACTTCGAGTACGAGAAGCCCAGTGACGTCAACGGATTAGACACAAAGAGGTACTTCGTCTGAAAAGTTCCTTCCTCGCGTGACGACCGTTCAGATTGGATTCTGAATGTTAGAGCGATTCATTTTTCCTTGAAGGTTCACGATACCAGCATCAATGTTCGCAAGCGGCAATCAGATCGAGGAGAATCGTTGTTTCTGTGAACATCCCGACAAGTGTAGAGAAGGTGGAGTGATCAATGTGAGCAAGTGCCGTCGTGGTGCTCCTCTAATTATGTCGGCTCCTCACTTCTACCTGGGCGAAGACAAGTTGATCGACGAATTTGAGGGTCTCTCTCCGAATAAGGAAAAGCATGAGACCTTCCTGGACGTAATGACGGTGAGCGACTTACGCGGCGATTCAGAATCAAATCGAGTCCTTCGTCAACGAGGAATACCCTCATGAGCAAACGCTCATAAATCAGCACGGACTTTCGGGAAAAACTCACAGCCCGCTTCTCGACTTCCAGATGACCGGACTCGTCCTGCGAGCCGCCAAGAGACTCCAGATCAATATTGATCTTAAGCGGAGCGATCTTATTTAGTGAGAATCCTCTTTATTTCCCTTTTTGTATCTAGATATGAGTTTCACGAGCTCATCAACTGCATGACATCATATTATCGGTTGCTCGGCTCAAGATATCACTAGGTTTCGAAAGTTTGCTCGATTGGTGAGAGGGTCATTGGATCTAGTCGCATTCTGTCTCGGACGCTCTCGACCCCGACTTGGTTCATGCACGTGTTCCAGAATCTGTATCGGTCCGCGTGCTCGAGTTCACGCGCTTCCACTACTGAGGAGCTAATCTTTTGACTTGAATGCAAGTGTGGGGAATGCTTTGAATCCATGTGTGCATCCTTTTCATATCATACCTCGCATCGTCACCTACTTATTTCCGAAAAGGTCTCGATCACAATCTCGTTTCATGGAGAAGCAGGAGACTCTCATGATCACGGAGATATTCGACTTGAATCCTGAATATACATACATAAAATATATCTTAAGGACTAACACAAATGACTGATGTAGCCCCCTCGAGAACATCACGGACAGGATCTTCCCCATCGCGTGGATCGAAGAGGCGAGCATTAATAGATGTCACTTTCTCGAGCATACGATGTCAATTCCTGAATCTCTCTCGACCCACTATACAATATCTTCCTTGGGCGAGCCCCGAACGGAATCGCGAAATTAAAAGAGCTGTCCGTCTTTGCAGCTGGTGGAAGTCCCATCCAAGAGCACCAATCTCCTCCAGGAAAAATTGGTCTCTCCTCACAAGATGGGCATTCTGGTCAGCTCGTTAGCGAGCTGTGCCGGAGCCATTGGTGGCATCGCCTCAATTCTAGTCTTTGTGGTTCTACAGTCGAACTCGTCGCGTACGGCCAAGTTGTATCCCGTCAAGTGACGGGTTCGTCCTCCTAAATGGTCGTCGCAACTCAACTCAAGGCAGCTGCACTCCCTAGCGTTGAGGTGAGCTGGCAGTTTCGTTCTCCGCTCTTTTGTTCATCCGGTGTCAAGTCTGTCTTATAATTTTTCCAACATGTCCTGGAATGAGTTGTTCTCCTTTGCAGAAGTATTATAGGTACTGTTTTCGGAATGGAAGCCGCATCAGCCAAGGAAGCGCATTCGGGATCGGTGCTGAGCGAGGATTCTTGAGTGCGCCGGAGCAATCCCCCCTATTTAGCGGACCTAGTCGCTCGCATTAGTCTCCGGGGGCTTCATCTCCACACGAACTAATTGTGCGTTGGATGAAGCTCGTCGACAATCCCATGAAGCACTGTATAGTCTGCATCCTGCAATTAGTCAGAAGCACATGTTCCAAGAATAATTCATCTGTAAATAAATGCTGCTCAATACCATAGGGATCACGCAATCAATAAAAGCCACCCCTGTCAGGGAGAGTGAAGGAAATTACGATTCGGTTCGATCCTTCGTCAAGACTCTAGACCATACTTCCCGGGAACCCGCATCCAGCAAAAGGTGCGAGATAAATTCCGGGATCTGTGGATCAATCTGCTAGGCACCACGAATCGAAATCTGATTCTTCATCTCGGAAAGGGTCACATATCGGGGAAAGAAGTTCCATGGTCGGAATAGTCATACTGACAAGATATCGATACAGAGATCTGTACACAAGTTTTATTTATATAACAAGAACCGCTAGAACTACTTTTTCTTCGCTTTCAGCTTTTTCAAAGAGTTCAATTCACCTTGTTGATTAGCAGCGTCCCCGAATATCATTTTGACCTTTCTTCGACGCTCAGCGTCCATTTTGAGTTGCTCTCGAAGTTTGAATTGAGCTATGAACTGATTATCGCGACGGACCTCACGCATCGCTCCCTTGAGCTCTTTTCTGTATTTCGCTTGAAGCTTCTTCGTCTCGGCCTTGACCCCCTTATCCTGATGGACCTTACGGAGCATATCAACTCTTTCTTCGATTAGTGGTTCGTAGAGTTTCAGCATCTGGGGTCTTTTCTTCTCCCGTCGGAGAGGACCCCTTGTCCTTACTCGATTCAGCTTCTCAGTCACCGAGGTCAAAAGCTCCTTCAGGCTCTGAGGGTACCAGCTGGTTTCGAGTTTTTCGAGACGCTGCTGGATTTTCCCGAAGATCTCGGGGAAAGAAGGAAGCTCCTTGAATACATCGGCAGCCGATTCGATCAGGTTCAAGAGACCAAAAAGGATTTTGCAACGGTCCGTTCGGGGTATATCTTGGTCCACGAAGCGATACAGATCAGAGATCCGGAGTCGGAGATCCTTCTCACGGATTTGGCCTGACACCGTCAATCTGTGAGACTCGGACAATACGCGTAGTATGAATGCTACGACTTCAGGACAATATTTAGATCCGAACGCGACATATTCCAACATCACTTGGGCGAGGAAAATGCCTCGCAGCATGTTTCGCGCGTCAGTCACCTTGCACGTACTCAGTAGGTGCGCCATGCAGATCAAGGCCGGAGAACCCACCGCGTGTTTCGAATCGGATACCGAAAAACAGATTCCGATCAATTTGAACATGATCAACTTCTCAAAACCTGGGAAGTTCGAGTCTTTCTTCGGCCCGTTAGCCCGGCCATCGTGATAAATATTCTTGACAACTTCGACGAAACTCCGCGCTGCAGACTGAGGCGACAACTCCACCAAGTGATGGATATGCGGAACCAAACCATCGATTCTCTGCAGAGTCTCCTGCGCGATTGATGGCTCGTCCGCCAGCATGTAGACTCGGTCGATCAATAATTGCAGAAATTTCTCAAGACGCTTGCGGTTCTGTTCATGGAGAGAGGGTGCGTTGCCTTTGATGATCCTGTCGATAATCAAGAGCTCGTCTTGAGGGCTCCTCTTATCGAGGAGAGTCTCGAATGAATCCATGTGGTCCGGTACTGCGATCAAATACGGGATGTCTGTTGTGATGCTCTCCGTCGGAATTTCCTTGGTAGTAATCGTAGATTTCAGTATGCTTCGCGGCGTTCTCGGCTTCACGGATTCCGATGGCTTTGGCTTTTTCTCGTCTTCGTCTTCCGAGGGGCCGTCACTCTGCGGAGAACGAGGATTATTTCTTGTCCCGTATCTTTCCCTTGACGTATCTGTATCTTTCGTATCTGTCCGACTTCCGTCTATGAGGGATATTCCGAACAGTGATGAGTGTCGCGATCTATAACCTCGTTTACAATGTCGCCTTCGTTGATGCTCGATTGAGGCTCTTATGATAATATTTCCTTTGACGCCATCGAATCTCACCTCAAGATCGTCATAGCTGTCCTCGTCGGAGTCTCCGCCCTCACCACTGTCCCCCTCGCTATCGCCCGAGTCTTTCTGTTGAGAGTCCTCTTCCGCGTCACGCTCTTCGTCATCCTCAACCTCCTCACCGGCATCATCTTCCTCGTCCGAATCTCCACTATTGCCACCGTCAACCGCTAAGTCCGGTTCCGCGCAGTCCCCGTCTGGTTGTGATCATACCATGTTATTTCATTCGAAAATATTCGCTTTGCTGCCTCGCCGCGTTTCATGGGCGGGTCAGCCAGGGGCTTTCCAGAGGCCCAGATGTAAAATACGGGGAACTAACCGTCTTCTCCGATTGCGAAATTATCATCGATGTCGTCGGCGCTCACGTGTTTGATCTTGAGCTTCTTCTTCGAGTCCACATCGCCCAACGCTCGCGATCTCCGCTCTTTCTCTAATTCCTCGAGACGCTCTCTTTCCTCTGCCGCGAGTTCCTCCTGGGTTTTGGTTTTGTCCATGGCGACCCCGGCTCTAGGGGCATACTGGAGCTCACTGACGAGACGATCGAAAGGGTCCGGCTGCGAGGAGTTGCCCTTAGCCTTGGCGCTCGTCTTCTCGTTGTGATGCAACAGAGAGTGCAAGTCCCGCCATTTAGAGTCGAGCTCTTGTGTGAGCTTGACATTCTGGTCGACTTCCAGTTGACGTTCCATCTTCGCCCTGCAAATTTCGATCGAATTCATTTCATGCAATCGCGTTCAGTGGTCAAGGTTCCTCGTTGCACTCATTGATTCATAAGAGCTCCCGGTTCATCCGAGCCGTAGTTTTATTATCGATGGAAAGGCAATACTTGGTATTGCTGAAAATCATACCTCTTGCTCTCGGCGATAAGGTCGTCGATTGCTCGCTTTCGGCCCTCCTCGCCCCCCTGAGATTTCGAGAGGAATCCGCCAAAATGGGCCTCTTTGACAAAAGCGGCATCTAGCTTATCGTAAATGTCTTCGTCGTCCGATCGAGGATCATCATACGCTGGATCAACATCGTCGAGGGTTTGTCCCAAATGAGTTAGCACCTGGAACGAATCGGATCCCCTTGATGGATAGAGCGATGATTGCTGCGAGCTAAACTCACATATCGATCCGCAAGGGGGATTCTGGCTGGAAGGGCAAAATTCTCTCCCCTCACGATCCGCGAAGTCTTACCTCGTCCTCGTTGAGATTGAAAATGTTTTTCTTCCTATTGAGTTTCCTGCTCGTTTCCTGAGCCAATCTCAGAGCTATTCTCTCTTCAGGATCCATTGAAGCATCTCCTTCTCCAATTCGGCGATCGACCAGCTGATTGTCTCTGTGCCGCTGAGAATACTCCTTCAAGAGCGTCAATTTCCTTTTGGAGATTGCCCTGTCGCGCGCCACCCCCGGCAGTCCTCGCTCGGATTTAAACTTCCGATTAATGACCTGTGATTAATGACACATTAGCGCACTCGAACGAACATTCACGTCGACGGATGACCCAAGCCTACGTCTCATCTCAGCAAGGGGACTCACCTGATGTTTCTGTTTATTCACTTTGACTTCAAAAGGGTTCTTATGAACTTCTCGACTCGGCTTGACTTTGACTCGGTCTGGATTCAGTTTCTTCTTGGGTTTCGCCATTTCTCGCGTGAGGATCTGCAGACGATATCTCAGCCTTATGGTCGAGCCTCCCAGCTGAATACGGTTTCGTTCCCAACCGTGGGATGACTGACTTAGAGTAGAACCAAACCGTGTCAGACTTTGGAGCCGAACTCACCTATACGACACCGAGGATGTGTCTCCTCCAGAGAACCACAATGCGTGCTTCTAGCTGAATTCACCTAGGCACCCAGTACCAGTCGTCTCTCTCAAGCTCCTTATCGGGATGTACTTCCAGCCCCAGCACGTATTGCCCACTGCGGAAATTTCTCACATGGGCACAAGACCCACCACTTCGCTCGAGCACGTGTATCTTTCCATTCTCGCCCTCTCTCAAGATGCCCAAGAGTGTGAAGCGTCGTCTGCTACCGCGGGAGGGCTCGCGGAGGAGAAGACAATCGTCGAGATGAGCCCTAATTAATATCTGTACTCGAGATGGATTCGGAGACTCTTATAGAATCAAATTGAAGTCGGGGATAGACCTCGATGATTCGGGATCGGGAATGCGGAATTTCCGCTCTGCCCTCTCCCTTAGCCGATGATATCGAATACAAAAATAGAGCAACGTGTTAAACTCTTCCTGTTTTGACAGGAGTCCGAGAAACTGTGGGAAGCGATCCTCGAACAGAGCACTCCTTACCGCGGAATCGCCGTGAGCGACGAACTCGAATCTCATTAGTTCGAATAGCAAAAAGCCCGCGCAGTGGCCCCGGGGCGATCCGACGTTCAAAGATCCTGCGGTCTGGAAGCTCCGGACGAGAAGCTCGACGGGAGATGGATTGACGTGCTGCAGCGAGTCCGCTTGCCTCATCCGTCCCGAAGCTCTTCGATCAAGTTTTCGGTACCAAGACTGCCTGATCTGCTAGTTCCCAGAGTCCTTTCGAGAATCCAACCTAATACGGGTAAGCTGGACCTCCATAGTCGTTCTCGGTCTCGAGCCGGAATGAGATGTATGACTTTTAATGGCAGCGTATCAGAAGCGATGCAAGAAGGAATGGAGTCAAGCATGCGAGGCAACATCTCAGAATCTCTCGCGTCCTGTCTGTTGATTCGGCAGAATTCCGTGAGGTCGGATTGTTTCGGAGAGAGCGGAAGCTTTGACCGTGAGCGCGAACGAGCCCTTTCTTTTTAGCGTCTGCTATGTGACCAAAACAGCAGAGCGCTCACTCAGTCACTGAGAGTGAGTATATGTATGCAATAATCCAAGATCAACAACATTCGAATATTCGACGAAGACGATACAAGTCAGTCGAGAGCCGTGACTGTGATAATTATTGTGATGCATCGGTGAAAAACATGTGAGACGAAAATGTCGTCCAGAAAGCTGGTGAGATATCCGTTTCTTGTGTTAGAGCGTAAATCAGCTGTCTGTTGGTGGTTGAGGGCCTTCGAAATCCTAAACACCGATCAGGTGATCAGTTATCACACAGCTGGAATGGACAAAAGACATGGTCTGAGAAATGATTACAAATACTCAGGGTGGAGCTCTATACACGTAGAAAATTATTTTCCAAATGATCATGCTTTTTTCGTCATCGAAACATGCTCGATCAGGAGCGCGGTGTCGCAGGCGACGAGGCAGGGGCTTTTTGAGTGCGCGCTCTCCTCAGACGAGTCGCTGACATGCGTCACACCAAAACGCTTCCCCTCCCCCCCAACCCCGTGAATGCTCCGCCACCTGCTGAGTGATTCATGCGAGCCGACTCTGCAGTGACGACGCACGGCTTTTTTAGGCGCGTTATTAATTTCATCTGGAATCAAGAGTGATTGACGACGTATCAGCGACTCGTCGCGAGAAGCAATTTTTTGCGTGACCCGTTTTGGCCACTCGTGTACCGATCTGCGCCACATCTGCCCCCATGTGAACAGAAGTTAGAACTTCTTAACGCACCCGCCGTATATCCGCCATTTCTCCTTCTGCTTCGGTCGTGCCTGTTCGGCGTGTGATGGCCGCCGGAACTCATTATGACATCATAGCTAGCTAGCCGAGCGGTTCAGGAGCATACAGCGCTTGGATTGAGCGGACATCGATTCTTTGCTGGGCGATAGAATTCCCCCGATCATTGCTAACGATGGTGAAAATAACACAGAATGTCGACGGCAGATCGACGCAGGCGCGATTTGCTGGTTAGGAGAGTCGTTCCGCTTTATGAGACAATGTACTCCTTGAGAAGGAGATGACAGCCTGACGTTCAAGGCAAATATTCCGCTCTTCATCCGAAATAATTTTCATCATTTTCACAGAGCAATCTTCGCCGAAGAATGGCTTCAGCGTTCGGTTTCGACAGTACTCCAGCCTCGGCCATCGGAGTCACATTCGGTGCATGCTGTTCAAATGTTGTCGTTCTTGAACAGCTTGTGCGTTTCGATCCGACTTGTACGTCCCTCGTAACGTTTTCACAATTCGCCTTCATCGCCGCCGAAAAATTCTTTAGCGAAACTAGGTGAGTATTTATTCGCAGTGACGAAATCACGTTATAGTCGCTTATCTGGGATCCGTGCTCCGTCAGGCGCCCACCGGTGTTTTGCTCCTTACGTCACGCGGAGTAGTATACCTCAATTATCCATAAACATTAAGCTCCTGGTGATAGATGACAAGACCATACGACGGGAACCCATTGCAGATTTTTGACCAAGAGGAGAGCGGTACCTCTGAAGAGATATTTGATGATGGTCCTGGTCTTCTTCGCATCCAGTTTCCTGAATAATTATGCCCTGAGTTTCGATATCCCAATGCCACTTCACATGATTTTCAAGAGTGCCTCTCTGCTGTCGAATATGTTGCTCGGCATCATCATCCTCAAGAGGTAGGTTCTCGGATCGCTCTTTTAATTAATTCCGTGCTGGATGACGTCTAATTTAGTCTTACGGGTCTCTGCGATTAGGACTAATCGAGTTCACTAACTTTTCGCTTTCTCAAGGTCCTACTCCTTGCGCAAGTACTCGGCGGTTGGCCTTATTACCTTTGGAATTCTTCTGTGCACCGCCGCTAGCGGAGGAGGCTCAACGTGGTCCGCGGACTCGGCGAATGACGTCTCTAGGTTCACTTTTACCCAGGTAAGCATGGAGCAAATGAGGGATTATACGTCTTGTAATTCGCGCTCGATTTCTTTTCATCCTCTTGCACCCGCCGGAGTTGGCTCAAAATTCGAATCATATGAGCCGAACAGCTGTAGAACTCCTTCTGGTATTACCGATATTTAGGAGACAGAGGAGAGCGCCGAGATCTGGCACCACTTATCCGGCCCGCTCGGACGAGAGGAGATGAATGACTGATCGATCCACTGAGCCAAAGCATTCGTGTATTTCCAGATTCTTGGCATTGGGATCCTTGTGGTAGCTTTACTCTTGTCATCGATGATGGGCATTCTCCAGGAGCAGGTGAGAGAGAGAGCTCTTGTATTCACAACGCGTTTGTATCGGCTGAATTCAGGAAGCCTAGCTCGCTGACCGATTCTCGTACGATCAACTGTTCACTTCTCGATTGATGTTTAAGGTGACGGCTGACTACGGAAAGCACCCTGGCGAGATGATGTTCTACATTCATGCGCTGGCTCTTCCCGGGTTCCTGTTGTTCTCGTTCCAGATCAAACGATCTTTCGAGCTTCTCATGTCCACAGAAGGCCCCTGGTATACGGCAGGAATGCCCACAGGGTTGACTTCGTTGATCGTTAACGTTGTAACGCAGTACGTCTGCATAAGTAGTGTCTTCAAATTGAGCACGGAATGCACGTCACTCACGGTCACGTTGGTTGTAACATTGAGGAAGTTCGTCTCATTAGTTATCTCAATATTTTACTTCGGTAACGAGTTCACATCGCAGCACTGGATTGGGACAGCGCTGATATTCCTCGGAACGTTTTTATTCCTCGACTTCCCGAACGATGTTGGTGTCTCCGGGGAGAAGTCCCAAAAGAAAGAATCTTAGACGGAGTACTCGCGTCTTCTGACCTATTCACCCATCCCCATTTTCGTAAAGTCGAGTCTTTCCTCCGGAGCTCATGGCACAAAAATATTAGGACGGAAATCGCTCGGAGAGGAACAGTGTTCATATGAGCGATGTTGAACAATGATGATGAACAATGTTCAGTTGTCGTCCGGTCGGATCTGGATCATAACCTTCCATTGAAACTCGATGTGTTGGGAATCATGCGGGTCGATACTTATCTGATATATCTGAGCAATATACCTGTACACTTGTACATCAAGCGGGATTTTTATTGTTGTCGACACTTACGATGAAATATATCTAATATAATAAATGTTGAGGCCAAAATGCAAAAGTCTGTTCCATCCGCTATCCAAGGCTTCCTCCGCTCCCGAGCATGAGCTCAGACGGCACGTGAACGGACGAATCGTTGCGACGAGACTGCGAGAAAATACCACGGCAGGAGAAATGTCCAAGTGTATGAAAGCGAGATCGATCTACACTCACACCAGCCGTGAGCTTTCTTTAAACCCGGAGGCAACCGGTCCCTTACGGAGGGTATGGTGCATCAGGCAAGCTCAGGTTGTCGGACACCATCCTAGCCTCATTAGCTTAAGAACCACATATCTTACAAGTAAACATTCTTTTTTGAAAATGACAATCGCCTGGTTTGACATGCTTTTCTGAAAGTTTCCGAGCCCCAGAGCAACCCCGAGTCGTTTTTCCCTGCTGTCCTGCATTTCATACCCCTTTCCTGCAGGCTCCGAAACCCGGAAAAGACACCATTTACATTGAAATCCGGGTTATTTTTCTCGGATTTTGATGGAAATGTTTTTTCCCCAGGTTCCGAAGCCCGGAAAGACTCATTCCCTTTGATATCCGAGCAAAATATCCCGGATTTCGATGTAAATGGTGTTTTTTCCGGGTTTCGGAGCCTGCAGGGAAGGGGTATGAAATGCAGGACAGCAGGGAAAAACGACTCGGGGTAGCTCCGGGGCTCGGAAACTTTCAGAAAAGCATGTCAAACCTGGCGATTGTCATTTTCAAAAGAGAATGTTTACTTGTTAGAGTCGTGAAAGTCGGTTTAGGCCCTTCAGATATATCAGAAGGTTTGATGTCATTGACATGCGATAAGCTGACATGGACGCAGAGAGCATCCGACTGGAGAGTCTTCGATAGATTCGGAACTGAATCCACGAAATTCAGCTCACAATGGATCCCGCAACTCAGAAGCCCTGCTCACATGAACAAAAGAAGAAGCAGGCGGAGCATAAGAGATAGAGATTCCAAAAATCATTCATTCATCCAGAATCAGGTCCATATCAGCGACACAGGATACAAGTTTATTGATCACTCATTGAATAAATATACAAATCTTTATACAGAATGTCTGAGCACGAGTTGGGCATCCAGCGGTCCCGATCGGCAGTATCTTTCGACCAGGATCCTTGTTGCTCCCAATAGGAACTTAAGGAGCGAAATGACGAAGCTCAATGTTGGTGTACCTACTAGTCAGTCACCGAATCGTAAGTCGGTGTAGGCGCATTCCAGAGTTCTTCAAGGTCTGGTCTCGGTGAAGTCGTGAATTTATACATCCTGGGCTCCCAGAAATCACAACGATTTCCGACGTTTTCCCGGATAGCCGTGTCCCTTCCATTGAGATGGACATACGGCTTGGTGACCCGGTTGAATTTCGGCCACTCTTTGCCGAATATATTGGGAACCTGACTGCAAAGGGAAACAACGAATATGAAATAATCAGAACGTCCCGGTCGACGTACGATCCGTGATAGCCGCGTATACTGAGTACGACGGGGAGAGAGTCTGGCAGCTGCTTACCCAGTCTTTGCAAAATGGGACCAAGTGTGCATCATGAAGAGCGTGAAAATCCTCTCTTCACGAGTCACGTGGAACTCAGTGGTGTCCAAATTCGTTCCAAAAATGAAAGGGATCTCATCGAAATGAGCTACACCTTGCCATCTCTCGTTCCAAGAGTATCCAGGTCGGTATCCAAACTCGTAGAAGTAGACGCTGTTGTTCCTCTCTGCGTAGTCCGCTGCGAAATCGACCATTGGGCATAGAAAACCGAAGTCTCCCAACGAGTGGCCGGCTCGTCGCAGGAACTCGGCATTGCTTTCATTAGGATCCGAATTCACGTATTGATCCGCAATGTCTTGAGTCGATCTCTGTCGAATGAGTCTGAACAGGAAACTCAGATAAACTTTGAGCGCTTTCTTGCTGATCGATTCCGGATCGGTGAAGTCCAAGACAGAGGAGAGATAGTACTGTATGAAGAGAGTGCCTTCATCCATGGTTGAGCCAACGAGGAGATCCATATCATTAACGTTCCCTGACCTGTGGCGGGAAATCAAAACACTGAAGGCGTGGGCGGACTCAAATACGAAGCGCAGAATAGATGGGCGAGGAAAATGGAGCGAGGCGCTACATCAAAGAGCGTCGGGTAGCTCACGCCCAATCTTCCCGCCTGTGATTACCTTATGGCGTCTGGAAGATCTTGGGGTACGAGGTCGTCTCCGGGCCAGGGGATGTAAGTCGTCTTGACGCGATCATTGAAATATTCTAGAGAGGTGAGGATTTCGGAAGTGTTTTTGCTCAACATACAATCGACGATTTCATTCATATCCTTCTCTCCCTCGAAGTCTTCCTCGGAAGCACACGAAAGTTCCGTGGCTGCTTTCTCGAATTGCAAACGAGCCTCCTCCGGATTATCCGTGATCTTGTAGTAGGGCGCTCCGCTCTGGATTATCGCGCGATGGAATAGACCTTTCGAGAGGGGCGAAACTAGATGGAAACCGAGCGAAATGCCGCCGGCACTATGACCGAAAATCGTGATGGAGTCTGGGTTCCCATTGAAGTTGGCGATATTCTCTTTGATCCACCTGAAAAACGACCACCGCACCGTCGGATCCTCACTAGTCTCAGAGGAAATAATAACCAATGACTATCGGATTGATTGACTGCGGACGAGCGAGATACTCCGCGCGCTTTTCAGAAAACTGGATGAGGTTCGAATGACGAAAAGTGGGAACTGTAGACGAAAAGCAAACACACCTGAATGCGAGATGTTGGTCCCAAAGACCTTGATTGCCAGGAATTTCTGGAATACGTGCGTTCATGAATCCGAGGGGTCCGAGCCGGTAGTTGACAGAAACGACAACGACATCTGTGAGGGCTGCCAGCATTGCTCCGTCGTAGAATCTATAATTGGTGCTGCCGAAAAAGAAGGCTCCCCCGTACAGGTAAACCATGACCGTCTTCGGACCTTCATCGGGTGTGTTGTCTGATGAGAAAATTTCTTCAATGAAACTTCTGTGCGAATGCACACCTTGATGGAATATGCATAGGCACAGTGATCGTATGCATATCTACATTCATGAATGAGGTAGATGGATCGGTATGGCGTCAGACATTCATTCGAGTTTACTAAGTCTGAGAGCCATGCTCCGCTCTTGTCCAGAGTCGCGAGCGATACTTACTTTTTGCCGGAGACCAAATGTTCAGGTAGAGGCAGTCCTCGCTCCGCTCTTCGCTCGTGAAATTGAACACGCGGTTCACGACGACATCTGGTTGAGCGCAAGAGGGCGGGAGGAACATGGCTTTCAACTCGCGCAGCCATGGTTTCACCGGCACTGGCTTCCGGAACCGAAGTTTGCCTGCGGGAGAAAACCGGTGATTGGGATGCACGCATAACCGGTGGGCTTATCGAGTCACTCCGGATCGAACTTTTCTCTGCATGCGCTCGCGCTCGAGCCACAATGTCCTGAGAAGGGCCCAGCGCTTGGTCGAACAAGGGGATCTGAGTTCCCGACCGAGGATCGAGTTACCGAGTCCTCTTGCGGAATCATATCCTGAATCCCTGCGATCGGGAGGCGTGAAGCATTCGGACGTAGATGATCCCACCGCTTATCGAGTACGAAGTCGATCACGAACTCACCGACGGGGGGCTGGGCGAATGGAACTCCGAGGAAGGTGTGCACCTGCCGGCCGAACTTATTTTCCCTAAAACCGCGGATTTTCCCCGTGCGCGTTTTGACCAACGGATCGGACCGTTTGATCTCATACACGTCGGCGAAAAGTCCACCGAAACCAAGGGAGATCACCACATAGCCTAGAAGCAACATTTCGACTGAAAACGGAGGTGTCTCCAGAGAGCTTGTGGCGGGCCGAAAAAACGGGGGATGGAAGACGCACCTCTCCCGGTTGTCGGTCAAGGTCCTCTGTGTGCCTGCTGCAGAAAATACGTCACGAGAGACAGAAGAACGATGATGGGATATTTGCGTCGGTGATAGCCGCCAACTAGTCAGATAGCTTGTTCCATATCACTTCACACAACTCGCCCTGTTGTGTTGCGAGTGTGGCGTAAGGCATTCCCAGCCGGCCAGTCGATTTCTGATTCATGTTGTTCCGATCACAAGAAAGTATCGACGCTCAGAAGAAATAGAAAACACCAAGGAAGCTTGCTGCGATGTCGGGATGTGGCTCGAGCCGAAGACTCGAACTATCAGTCACACGTCGAAAACAAACGTCAAGAGGAGAATCGATGCGTTTTCGTTAGCTCGTATAGGCTGTCTTAATTCGGAGGAGTGCTCTCATATCCATCGCAAGAAGCCGGCGACTGAAGTCTTGACACTTTCCGAAGCCGGAGTCGGTCGAACAACACCTTTGCTGATGAGCCGAGCCGCCTACTCACGCAGAATCGATTAGAGGAGGCGCACGGAAAACACCGTTGGAAAATGATTCATAGAAGCGAGTTTCCCAGGACAAGGCATTCTACAGAAATCATCCGATCGAGACCGATGTTATTGTGTTCCAGCGTGACTCCGCTCGCACATGTGAAGGAAAGAACATGGGCGTGTTTCCTGCAGGGAACGGTGAGCTGCGAGGAATCGGAATGGAAGCGTCGGTCCATGGCTGGACGCGCACAGAATAGCAACATGGTCGAGCTTCCGACATCCGTTGAATTTCCCTGTGAGTCGGTGGGTACGGAGGAGCATTGACGATAATCGACTCGACGAGGTAGAGAATGACCATGCCGGCTAGCTCAGAGGTAAAGCCGTTTTTCCGGCTTTCAGAAGGCATTACAGAAAATTGAAGCTCAGGTGTCACCTGCACACAGTATGTCCACGGAAGGCGCGAAATAGCTGGAGTGCCCCATTTTCGGGATCGTTGCTGTCGATGGAGCGGTCTTGACCTTTTTGGCGGTCAAACAGTGGCTTCAAATGCTGTTCTTTCTTTTTAATTCGATGCATCGGTCTTGAGCCTATCGACTGATCTCTTCTTATGTCTGTGTAAATCCCACAAAATTAAGGCAGCTCTTGACGCCGTACCGGCGAGGATCATGGGAGAATTCGAGCCATCGGCGACCGGCGACTCGAAGTGTACAATGTGATTTGGGGCGATCGTGGTTCCGATCGCATCAGCAGCAGTAGACGTTTCTTCACAGAAATTCATCAAATTGCTTGCCCTTTAAAGTACTTCCGAATAGACTGGCGGTCAAGGTGACTCTTCTAGCTGAAGGATGCTGCTGTACGGAACCGATAGACAATGGGAGCAACGGGCTCCGCGGTTCCTTCGAGTCTTCATTGCACGAGGAGAGGCATCATGTCTCCCTCAGGAAGACCCGGGGCCAAATCGATGACTCGGGAACTCACGGGAACGTTCCTTTGGCTCGATTGAGAAGGAAAAATTCGGGTGCCGAGTCCAGCTCGCGACTTCCATCGCTAAACAGGAGGAAGTCCGCGGGGTCTGAAACTCACGGCTTGGGGCTAGATCCCGACCCGCATGAAGTCGTCTTCGAAGCGCTCAATCTCTTCAAAAGTTAATCCCCGAGAGTCAAGACGAAATGCGATAGCCCTTCCGACTCCGACGTCTTCTGGCTAATCTCTGCACAGAAGTACTGTGACCGTCCGGTCCGACCTTCACCGGATGTTTCGGTATTTGAGGGCCGTACGTCGATGCTCGGCACGTCGAGCAGTGACCGCGTACCGTATATACATCGATGTCAGAAACAATAAGGAGCTTAAGTGAGTCGGAATAGATTCCTCGTTCGTGAGGCTAGCTGTGAAGGATCTCAATAAATTGATTTTTGGGAAACTTCGAGAACTTAACCCCAATCCCCGATCAGGAACTTCCGTGAAGCCTCGGTGACTCGCGGAAATGCGAAGTGAAGAATCTTGGAGGAAAATTTGAATGTCGCATCAGAATTGCTCAGAAGTTGTAAGCAAGGAGAATATTCTGCTCTTCGCTGAAGTCCTACGGAGGATTCTGGAACATTCAGACCGAATCTGCTCCAAGTTGGATACGACTCGCGATCAGACGGATTAGAAGGGAAGATCTTCGTCAGTGGATAAATGGGAGAAAGCATTGGGGCCTCGGATTTCCGGCAAAGCTTTCTCGTCGTTTCCAGAGAAGACGTTCAATGATACCAATCGAAATGTCTACAGGGGAGTGGTGTGGTCCTCGAATAATCGTCATGTGCCTACACGCTATCCAGATCGATCTACAGGGTGCGGCGGCTAAATTGGGATTATTTTCATCGCACCGCCCGGAATAGGAAGAAAGCATCTATCTGGGAGACGCGTCTGCGGTGTGAGGCGGCATCTTAGGACTGTTGAATCATATCATAACCAGAGCTCTAACCCAGCGATTGCTCTCCGAACTGGTCCGACAACGATGCGGTCGAAGCGGCGATTCTCGCGCTGAAGTGAATCTCCATTCTCAATGCTCGAGCCCCATAGGCTATGGGCCATAGCCGGCGCAAGGGTAAATGACAATGGAGTGTATTCAAGCCAGTCTTACCAGCTTAGGCACATGTACCGGTCAAGTGACATTATAATTCGATAGACTCTTGATTAGGCCTAACATGGCGGACACCTCTCTCGGATGGATGCATTCCTTCTATGCCGGGCGTTGCGATGAAAAAAGTCTCAATTTAGCTGCCGCACACTGTAGAGGCTTCCTCTGGACTCTAGATTTCAGCTCTTTCACGCTCGGGATCAGAATAGCCGATTTTCTTGCTAGTTCCAGAAGTCAGGTCTTCTGGGTTTGCGATCTATCAACTTGAACGACGACACAGAACTTAAATTCGCCAAAAAATTCACGGGGTCCTTACCCAGACTTTCCGGAAGGAGACTTAAGCCGGAATTCTTAAGGTCTGTATCCACATTCCTGCAGTCTAGTGGACGCTGAATGAATAATCAAACATCGGATGGTTCCTCTTCATCGAGGAAATGGAAGGAAGTCGACTTACAACGGGTTTTTAAGCCTCAAGGTCAAACCGAACGATTGTTTCTCTTGGTTGAGTGAATCGTAGGAGGAAATCTAAATTGCTTCCCATTTACGAGGAGCTCCGAAGTACTCTAAAGATACGCATTGCTCGAGTGAAGTTTAGAGGAATGCTCCTTGCGGAACGATTTCAGCCGAAAATTCCGCGTAAATTTCGTCTCATCGAGTTTATTCTCTGTGGATGAAAAAAAAATGCATTCCAGAGTTGAAGCCTGGATGAATGGTTTTATTAGGCTATCCACAAGGACTCTCTCATGAAATCTGCTATCTCGACATCTCATATGGGTACATTCGCGACTGATGCAGGAATTTCGGCTTTTAGGCCAGCGATATCAGCCTCGAGTCATAAGATGCAGAAAAAGCTTCGGGAGTCTTCGATTCGCATGGAATCACACTCCGTCGATTCAGGAACCGCAGTAGCCAAGGCTAAGCATCGATGGACTGGATCTGGGCTCAATTTGAGGCTGAAGCTTCGCGAGAGGGCTTTCTAACGGTGCGGCATTCTTCAGAGTCTCGGAACTTCGAATGGTGATTCGCAGCTTCCGTTATCGAGGCTTCCTCTGGTTATGTCAGAGGCCGATCTCACTTCAACGCTTCCTTGGGAACAATCACATCACTCCCGGGGTCACTTCCACGGCTCACCTCGATGACGAAGGCTGACTCTCAATGGCACTCCGACGCTCGGAAAAAGTCCTAGATCGGTTTGATCGTCCATTTGAATCGAACCCCTTTTCGGGTCTAGGTGTTTTCGGAGAGATCCAATCATCCGGATTCGTTTCCACAGCTCTCTCCCTCTACATTACCGTGTCTCTCTCTTATGCACATCTTGCTGAATGCATCAATTCCGGATCAAAAATTACAGAATCATTCAGAATACACACAGCAAGGTCAACAAGGCGTATTAAGGCAGTCTCCCAGTCTTTCAAACTGACGTGCGCGATATTGGTTAGAGCTCCGATGAACAGCAAAAAAAATCGGATACGGTCGTAGGCATGCCCGCTGAGGGAATATTAGAATCTTCATGGAAAGCCACTCGAGGACATTAACAGGAGTAGAGGTAAGACGTTCAGATCAGTGTAGGTTAGCCGACTGCTGGGAATGTCCGGAATCACACAATGGAGTTTCATGCTGAAAACACAATGATATACGTTAGATATCTTTCCCGAAATTCAGAATCCTAGCCTCAAAATGATATGAAACTTTATTCTCGAATGATGGAGCGGGAAACGTCTAAGAACGGCTCGACCCGGGACCGAAAGGTCCTCGGGAATTAGCGCTGAGCTCGGAGAAGACAGGAATACTGGAAATCAATCCGATGAGGATCTCCGCTTCGGTATAGGACTTCAAGACGTCAGCCGGTTTGGATGAAGGAGTAATATCGATAGAGAATCTCATTCGTCTGCTTCGACTTCTCCGTCGAGATCTCCTTGGACGACTTCATCCGCTCCTTCGAGGAGCTCTGGAGGTGGTGCACCCTGCTTCACGATCTTCCTCCGGGTTTTTCGGGTGACCTCGTAGCTACCATCCGGAAGCTCTGTGACGATCTCCTCTGTGTCGACGACTTCCCCTTCGTCTTCCTCCTCATCTTCTTCTTTGGATCTACCCTGGAGGACATTCTTGCGGACTTCTATGGTTCCATCCTCGTTTTGGACCATGACCTCTTCGGTAACACCGACGAGTTCCTCCTTTTGGGAAACGCTCTCGAGCACCTCGGTCCCGTCCTCGAGAAGTTTCCTAGTCACTTGCCGGGCATCGACGCCAACCTGAGAATTCTCGTCCTGAGCATTTGAATCACCCTCACCTTTCTCCACCGATGCGGAACGGCTCTTCTCGTAAAGGAACTCCTGCAAACGAAAGTTTCGATTGGCTCTTTTTGTTCCCGGAAACCGGATTTGCTCGAAAGCAATGATTTATTCGAGAGAGCAAGCGTTAGTTCATAGGGAACTTACGAATTCCGCTGGATCCAGCTTGAGAAACCAGGGTAGTCGATCTGATTCCGTCGCCGTATCGAAGTCCTCGAAACTCTGCGAGGATCATTATAATTAATCATTCGGCATCATGTACTTTTGAGCAAGGAATGAAGCCAAGAACTCGTTCGGCTGGACGATTCTCGAGTCCTTTGAAAGCGTCCGTGGACTTTGTCAAGTTGGAGGGAATCTTCAGATCGGGATACTCTTCTCTATTCCCTACCGTACCCGCATTCTCTGTGTACATCTCCCCTCTGGTGACGGACGCAGTTCTTGGCGCGACTTCCTTCCGCTACGTGCCTCCAACCATCTCATCGTCGGATGAGTCGTCCTGGGACAATAATCGCAAAAGACTTACCCCGCAGTATTCACCGTCATTGAAGAAATGCGGTGGTGGAAGGGGATTTCCCTCCTCGTTTTTGCAGTGTTTCTTGACAAGTTCTCTATCTTCTTCTCGGCCCGGCTCCGTTATATCGATCTCTTCGAATTTCACACGGATCGATGTGAGAATCATGGCGGCTCGCTGTTGCCGTTTTTTCACCTGTAATCACGGAATTTTCGAGATTCGTTCATGCTGTCGGTGCTGGGAAGGTCTAGAGACTGTTTTTTCTACAGGTTGCAAGGAGGAAGCATATTGGGCCTATGATCTGAACCAGAGGTGTCAGACTTAAATTGTCGGCGGGCTACATTCGAGCGCCGCAGGTGCCCGCGGACCACATTAAAAATTTAGTTTCGTATGAAAGGAGAATATATGCCTATCGTCCATAGAAGGTTGCTTTTCCAGTCTCCGGGGATCGAGAGAAAACTCGTTTGTTCGGTCTCACGGAGGTATTCACTCCACCGATGACATTCAATTTCCAAGCACTCATCCGAAATGGTCGGCTTCGAGTATGTGAAGGAATAGTGGCGGGCCGCAAAAAAAGCCCTCGCGGGCCACGGATTTGATACCCCTGATCTAAACTGTCAGATTTTCAACGGTGGAAATCGAGCCGGAAGAAGAAGGAAATTTACGGCCGCGAGAACATGCACATCCGAGAGATCCTCGCAACGACAGACCTCGAATCTGGAGCTTTCTCGGCCTCGAAGGAATCCTGTGATTCGCTCGCGACCCGCTGGAAATTTCGGCGAGACCTGGCGCGCATAATTGCGGTAGAGTATCCTTACAGTTTCCCACAAGAGACTCCGAGGGTTCCCCGTAGACCGTCCCAAAGAGGAGAAACATAGGGGAATCTGCAACGATGACTCTGCCGCACTGAGCGGCGTCACTCTCATCCAGTCGAGTCGTGATTCACTGTCGTGCCGTAATTCCGCTTGGCAAATGCAAATCGAAGGTGAGTACAAGTTCGGCACGAATCGCGTCTGGAACAAAGTTCACGCCCCGGAGGTATGGTATCGAGAGTCTCAGAAAGATTTTATCTAATTCCGCGACCGAGAAGAAGAATGGTACAGCTCCTGGAGCAATGAGTGTTGATCGAAGCCGGACCTTCTCCGTGTACTTGAGAGCGTAGGTGTTGCCTGTGGCTCACGACGGCACAACGAGAACGCCAGAAGTTCTGATCAACTGATCAACGCGATTTCACGGCTCACAACTGAGAATCATGAAAGGGTGACCTAGGAAAGTTAGTCAGTCACTGGAGCTAGAGAATCTGTCGCGCCGTCAGAAGCTATAGCGTTTCCTACGGGGAGCCTGACGTTTGGGATCCGCTCACACAGCTCTACCAGTACCTCCTGGAACGTTGAGAGAAAGCGCGAAAGAAGCTTCATATTGATATTTCGGCACCTCTGTAGATTCAGAGCCATTCACCACCTTCTCCTTCCGGGAAGAGATGGTGAATTCCTGGAATCCCTCGCCGATCGATGGCTGACGTAACCAAAAATTTGGAGCCATTGGACGCCAGAGAACCGGAATATGAAGTTTTCTAGTCAGTTGACCGACTCTTTTACATGCTATATCAAAGACATCTCCGCAGTTGGCAGATGTACCTCCACCGGTGTAGATGAGTTTGTCGAGGTCGAATTTCGTCAACCTCGGCAATCTATTGACGGGAGATGAGTCATACTAGGCGACTCTGCGCGGCGTAGTCCATGCTCTCGGATCCCGCTGTGATCCGAGTCTATCGCGAGAAATTTCAGGCTCCAGGAAAACCCGCGTATACTTGCGAAGTCATACCGAGATGGTCATACGAATTCGGAGATCCTAACGATAATTCAATCAGGATAACGTGGAGCCCTTCACGAGCTTGAGGCGTCATGTCGCTTTGACGAAGAGGGCGCTTGATTATGTTAGAAGTCACATCACAACAAAGCTTCCGTAATAAAGCGCTAATGAATGAGAATTGTGGAAAATAAGGCCACTTGGGAAGCTTCTCGTCACTGGTGTTCCATAAAGCGCACACAATGAACTTCTCTGGCATCAAGCATCTAGACTTCGCTCGACTCTTCTGAGATGAGCTAAGGTGATGCGCTACTTCTTTCGATGGACGCGACAATGCAAGAAAAGGGATCTTTGAGGACATGAGACGGTGGAGATATGCAAAGGCTCCGCGTGCTGCCGCCGGAGTACGGCGTCCGAGCTTTCCCGCGGAGAAAAGAAACGCTTCTCCTTTCAAGACTGAACCATTGTCCTGTCCAATCATCAGCGATCTAATCGAATCCGAACACGGGTCGCGCAGGAGAATAATTATCAAGTCCGTGACTTTTTCGGTGAATCATTCAAAATTCCGGTAAATTACATCGCAGAGGAACACCCACCGAAAAGCGCATCTTTGAAAAAGGGATTCTCTATGGTGCTTTATTTCGGTAGCATTAGTACACCATACCAGATACTTTTTCCCATTGAGCTTTTCGGCTCGAGCTCATCATTCGTGGATCTGAAGGGTCGAATGAGGCGGAGAATTCGGAACAGTCGACGAATTCCATAGGAAACATTGTGAACTGCAGTCGAAGACGGAAATCACCGCAAGGGTCCCCGCGATCACGGGAATTGCCGATGAATCTATTCCGCCTCATGAGCGGAAACACATGGCTATGCGTGGGTGCTGAGCGGGATACTCTTCTTCGAATGCGTGATCCGAGCGCATCAATAAGCCTGGGGCTGGTCACATCGGAGTCAGCCCTAACAACCCTGATCCGTCTCACTCCGGGTATCCCCTCGACACGGTTTATCTCCGTACAATCTTATTCGCCCATCTCATATATTGTCTTCGTTCCCGGTCGTTCCCACCTCTGCATTTCATGCTGCTCCGGTCAACACTCTAGCTACCTGGATTGTTGGTTTCGACGCGCCAGTCGCGAGAAAAAATGCCGAAGCCGTTCAGACGACGCTTCTGGGCTCGTGAAGATCATTTCGGGAAAAGCGCTCCACAGCTCCAGGAGGAACAGCAAAAACAGGGACAACGAGAATCAGCTCTGTGAACAGTGCGGGCCTCGAGGAATTCTTGGGAGCCAATTCATGAAGTCGGATGTCAGATACTTCCAAGAGAAATGGATGCCGACTCAAAGATGCGGAGCTCAGTCAGCTGATTGCTTCGCATGATTAAGCTCAAACGACTGGGTCAGTGATTATGGACTATATGATTATCGTGGAATTTTTGATATGGTTCTCTTCTGAAGTTCCGGCTGGAGCGGAAGCTCGGGCTTGAATTTGAGGAACCTGATCGTAAGAAGAAGATCTTCAAGCAGAATAGCGGAGGCGTTTCTGGGACCAAGTCTGCATTACAGTTACATTCTGACTTTTGAATCAAAACCATCAACACCAACTCACTCAGCGACTTCTGTCGACGCGCAAGCGCAGCCAGAATGAAATCCCCCGCCGAACGAGCCAGACAGGAGGCGAGCGGATAAAAACAGGAACGATTTGTGGAAACAACAGCTTGAAGAAGTGACGCTGAAAATGTTTCGGCAAGTCTTGGGCTCGTCTCTGACCGAGTCCTGGTCCGCTTCTCGACGCCCTCGGCTCGTGCGATTCCCGATGACAAAAACTTAAATAGAAGACAACGAGCCGTTAAGTCTGCGGTGGCGAAGATCAGCGGCCTGCATAGCTCTATCCGGGCTCTTAACGGCCGGCACCGGTCACAGAGCCCCAATCGTCAGATCGACGTAGCGACTTCCGGATAGAGAGCTCAAAGACACAAGGAGAAGCTGCTAACAAACTTCCAGGACTAGGATTCCCAGTAGGGAAAGACGTCGAGCGATCCGCGTCGGGGAAGATCGGGGGAGCGATTGATAGAGCCGATCATCCTGGGTGGATGGAGGCCACATTCTCGATACCTCGGCGAATGCAATCATCACCCCCTGAGCATTGATTCACCGAGTCGCACTCTTGCGACGTCCACGACGCCGATGGGACGGCGGCATCGCAACACATTGGAAAAATATGCTGTAAGCCATACGCGATGTTTCGCTTTGGCTGCCGTCGACACGCTACGTAAGGCTATGCCAAACAAGGTTACGTTGTTGACGTAGACAACCGATCGCTGAGCCGCCAAACAACCACAACGCTTTGACTCATGCGACCAGCCGAATACCGACGAAGCGACCGATAACAGGAGGCCCCGACGAAAGCACTTCGGGAATCGGTTTTATTTTTTAAACATAAACAGTACTCGAGGAATCGCTCCGAATGAGTGATCATCGTCGCGACAACTGTCAAATGAAACCGAAAGATCGCGTCCGAAAGACTCTGGTCCGGATTCGGCGCCTAGGAGCGGAGCGGTGAGATCGTATTTACAGAAAATTTCTCGTTTGGTCTCCCTACGGAAACATAATTCGCTCCGTCGTCAAGCAACTCGTTCTGCGGCTCATTTTTCGCGAAATTGTCTTCCATACGGGACACAGAGGAACACGACGGACGTGGCTCGGAACCTGCCACTGGAATCCACTTACTCATCACAGTATCCGAGGAATGTTATCTCAGAACTTTGTGCCGATCCTCTTTTTCAGTGGATGTGAATCAAAAGTATTTTATAACCACTTGGTGGTGTATCGTGTCAAATTACACTCCAGTGTTTTTCAATGACGGTTCGAACGTCGCCATGGGGAGGAGGAACCAGGGATTCGGCATTTATCTCATCAGTCAGTCCCGACTCCATGATGATGGAAATCGTAATTCTCGAATCGGGCCTGGAATCCCTCCTTCCGATGCTTCCAACGATTTGTAGGCCGGTCGAGAGGGTGAGCATCCATGGGAAGAAGTCCGCGAAGACAGAAAAATAGGAAGCTCTTCGTGTTATCCAGCCGTATCGTGGTCTAGCTCGATTCCCTTCTGCATTTGAGCGGGACATGCACAAAGATGCTACTCGAGTGATCGGAGGGGCGAAATCGCCAGGTGGAACGGAAAGTCAGATCGAATGGAGCTGAGGTACGGGGAGAAAATGTCGCGGACTCGAGTCCACAAAGTGACGGAATCGGACATCTCGAAGAGTATCGCGTCGCGCGTTTCTCGATAGCAGATTCAAGAGTCAATTCAATAGCGAAGAGGAATGGCTCCCGAAGAGATTATTCCGCTTAATGAGGGATCTACGACGCTTCGATCTACCATGCTCCCCGGGAAATCTATATCGAGACGCACGTTTCCTGGCACCCGAAATCAGCAGTAGCTAGATTCGGTCGGTACAAAGGCAGCAGAATTCAAATCCACAAAGGCTTCTGATCGTGAATACAGAACCTCGCAGATCCTGATCGATCCTGATTACGTGGTGTCGGCACCAGGGATTCATCACTCATTCTCACTTCACTCGTCAACTAGACTGGAATGCCACTGCGGAAGGACTGCAGAGATCAACTTATTGAGGACAGGGCCCGAGAGAAGCTACGGCCCTCGAATCGAGAAGCTAGACCCTTCCGCTGCGAACCCGACCCGTCTGTCTCTAATTCAGATCGTGCGGTTCAGGGAGGAACAGAATCGTAAGTAGAGACAGGAAGAGAAAACTGACTGACCTCTTTGCTTGCGCTGATTCCACTGACATACATCTTAATGAGAGTCGGTTTGGTCTCGGTTTCCTGACCCATTGCGACCACTTGAAGCCCTTTTGAGCACAACTTTAACTCCGGAACTTTGTAGTAGAGTATATTCGCCTTCTTGCGACGATGTCGAACAGCTGAACTCAAGACGACTCAGGACCTTTCTCTGAACGGGAGACGACAGCAAAGGCGACCACAACATTGACCCTCTCCACAGACCCTCACTCGCACAAGCACGAAAAACGTTCCACCGTACGTGTGCATCTGATCTCACCCAGTTTTACATTTTTCGAGTGTGAGCGGGGGAACGCGGGGAGCGGAATTTCGAGACTGGAAGCGAGTGAAATCTGCAGAATGAAGGGGTTGAGGCGGAGATAGTCAATGCTAGAGGTGATCTTTGCTGGATGGCCGAGCGCGATCGGGGCCGCTGAGAGGAGGGAATCTAGTCAGGCCAGCACGCCAACAAGCTGTCGATTAGATCTCAGTCAGGCATAAAAGTACTCGAACGATTGTGTGCCGAAAGTTTGGTACGATTCGGCGTATGATAAGGCTCGCTTATGATGCCACTAATGACAAGTCTATGGGAGGTCCGTACGAGACCCTCCGGGCAGATGCGCGAGGGATCTCCCAAAGCGATTCGGACGCCGGAACCTTAAAACTAAGGAAAGAGCAGCCTCTCGGAGCCGATTTCCTGAATGGGGAAGCTGAGATGAGGTCTCGGGAAGAAGTACGCCCCGAGTCCCCGTGAAACCCTCCTGAGGCGAGTGAGAAAGGAATCGATGCTTTCTCTTCTGCAGGTGCTGGTTTTAATTTTTCAGTTCCGCCTAGACCATCCATAGCCGCCGCATTATCACTTCCATTCGGGGCCGATCATACGCGACATCGTCTATCACTGACACGGGAGAGCGATTCGTGCGGTTAACATGGAATAAACAATGGATTTCGTCCGAGAATATCAATCCGGAGCGGAGCATTAGAGATTCGGGCCTCCAAGACGTCTTCCCCCTGATGCAGGGTCCTACCCCGTATGTGTGAACGTCGAATTAGATCTTGTGACCTGTGTGAGGAATAAGCTGATACATACTTCAGTGAGACTGCTGCCATTGTGTAATGATCGCAAAGCTGAAGATCGAGAACGCTCATTCCCACGATTCCGTCATCATTTATTCGAGGCGAAATCCTTCTAGAGATATCACGAGCCCCCCTCCAATGGTAGCCTCTCTCTAACACTGGGAGGAGCCCCGCGTCGGAGACTTCTGAAAAATTAGAAGCCCGGACCGTATTTGGGAGATTTACGTTATGTCAAGGGTCCGCGTTTGCACTTCACTTGGGTACGAAAAAAACCTACCCTGTCTTCGTCAGACAATCCAGCCATAACATCATTTATTTTCCCTCAGTCATGAACTTCGATGCTCATGATGCTCCGCTTAAATTAAACATCATCAAATTCAGGCTTGTGGTTTCCAGTTTCACTACCAACAGCTTCACACAGTGACTATTATACGGGTCGGAGAATTGTTTGATGACTATGCACAGGTTTCCACGTTTGATAGAAAAGCGGCAATGATTCCGATGAAGATAATATAATATTATAACTATAATGATCATCGTCTTCCATCCATTCATATGTACAAAATGGCGTCAGCAATTTAGAGAGCTCATCCACACATGCTTCCCCAAGCACCTGCTCCTTCGCTCCGTCTTGAACATCGTTTGTTATAGTCTCAGGATTCCCTTCGTTATACACCGAGATTCGGCATTCGCCTTGTGTTAGAGCAAGGACGCGCTAGTTTCGCTAGCGGCGGGCGCAATGGTTTGAAATTTTTCGATGCGAACATCCCTCTTCAGAGACAGTCAAGAGCTGCAAATAACATGGCCACTTTTCAGAAGTTCGATATCCTCGAGACGAATCTCCTAAACGAGATCCGCTCGGTCTCCTTCCCCTCTCTCTGCGAAATTCAATGGATGCGCGCCTCACGTGCATCGTTTTATGCTTCGAAGTCATATCCCTTGGTGGAGGATCTTTCCCCCGACCCTCGTCTCCGAAGAGTCGAAGAGGATCTCTTCCCTCCGTATGAACTCCCTACCCTGTCTTATGTACAAATGAGGACGGTCTGCTTAGACCACTCTAAGGGTTCAGACCCTCGAGTAGAACAGGCGAGCAAAGATCACCGTTAAAATAAAAATAAGTCGTCCAAATACACAGTCGTCGGGAATCGTTCTGCGAGGGAGAGAAAGGGGGTTGGGAGTTTATCACAAGTTGTCCAGGGCTTTCGAAGCCGACCTTGGCAAAATTCTAGAGATTTTCGAACATTCTCATCAGATGTTCACAACGAGTTTTTGAAATCTCCCCGTCGACGGAATCGGTGGAACTAAAAACCGGTCGGAGCCAAGTCCTGCCTATGAAGAGACTCCCCGAGTCTCGGAATCCTCAAGTTGATCATCGGCGAAAAATTGATCTGGTTTTCGGTATTTGCCTGCTGAATCGTTTCTCTCGTCGGTTTCTTGCCCCTCCCTTTTTCGGGAAACTTCGGTGTTCTCCCAGAAGACGAGCTTCCTATCTTCTCAGGCTCCCGTGGGAGCTTCTGTCTCCCATGTTTGGCTCACGGACGATCTCTATTTGAGTTGAAATCCTGGCAGGTCTTCGTTTGGTTAGCTTCAGTCGAAATGCCAACATTTATATCAGATGAACTTACTGGACGTCTTTGACGTCTACCTATGAGCACGCGCTGACTTGAGCGTACATCATGAATCGCCGCTATCCCAGTCGCTCCTCAATCACACATCCACAGCGTTGGCAAACTCTCCCGAACGCGCACGTTCCCTCACTTTCATCCCGCTCGCATCTGCACCCGGCCATCTCGAGGCTATTCGATGGTCCCGATGGGAGGTGCAAATGGAGCTCACAATCAGGTCGACGAGCATTTGCGAAGCGTCATCGTTATGCCCCAATCGGCTCTCCGTTCCGTGAGTTCCGATGAGGGGCGGGCGCCCCAAATGCTCCAAACGAAGGCGCGACGGTCATCGGAACGATAATGGTCAATGATGATCATGATCACGATGAGCTCAAGTAGACAATCAATCTCTCAGACTTATCTCACATGGCAATAACTCACCAAGTCCACATTCAATCGCACAAGTGAAAATTTCTACAGCCCGATCAAGAATACGAAAAAAAATCGCGATACCGACTAGTTTTTCCACCTAATCTGGCTCCCCTCGCCCCGATCTGCTGCGAGTCGCAATTTCGGTGGGGCCGGAGAACAATCCACAGGAGATCTTAGAGGCGACCAGACTTGATGAATCTCTCCTCGAATGATCCTGATCCGCTTTCCTTCTGGGAATTTTCCTCAAGTAGCTCAGAAGCTCTTCCGGACTTCGTCCTGAGTCTGGTTGCTGGGGTAGGGTTCGCTGTTGTTGACAGGAACGAGAACATCAGGGGAATTGACAAGGGAACGTTTGTTTGTTCGCTCGCTCGCCGACCGAAAAGAGTGCGTTGTTTTCCTCACGGTACGTGGCTGAGAGTGGTGTGAGCAGATTCGGGATTGAGCACCGTCAGATGTGGTAGATGATCGCTGCCGTGCAACATCGATACGGAATCATCCCCGGACGGAATCACTTTCTTCTGCAGCGACTGTAGATAGCTCTGTAGGAACAAGAGAGAAATGGCTTGACTCAAACCCAGTCGGTGCCTCAGGTGTCGCAGTGAACCCCATATTTCTCCGAGAAGAAATCCAGCAAACGAAACCCATCTGCATGCCTCACCTGCTACCTGCGATGCTTGTCTGAAGTGAACGTTTACGTACGCCTCGAGAGTCTTTCGCATCATGTTAGATAAGCGCTTTCATGTAGCGATTCGGAGACCACTTTCGAGGTCTCTAATGTATTCTTCACCGCTCGTTTCCATCAATGGCAGGGTCCTTGCCCGCGGAAGCTCGTTACCGTGTCCCGCTTCATTTCGATATCCCACAAAAATCGCCCCATCGATGAGTGCAATTGTGTTCAATCAACCTCGTACCCGTGGATAATAATTAATACGATAAGCATGCCGTAAGGGTTAACAGTTTGTCCAACGGAGTAAATCGATTATCATCGACGATTTGAGACGCATTATCATTTTATTTCTGTTCCCTTTGTTTAGTAAAAAAAAAGCTAATGTCCCCTCAATAGGTGTGCATCGCGTACGAAGGCCGCAGAGGAATGTACTGCAGATGGGTTGAGCAAGCCAGATTTCTTTTTACTCGATCATTCGAATTTCAGTTTCCTAACTTCCCCGAGCGAGGAATCGTGTTGAAAAGTAATGTATATCGCAGACAAAAGTTCGGGGACTGACACATTACCTGCGATATCACGTCTCCGTGCGACGTTCTAATCTGATAGAGATATCGGTATTTCCTCTGTTGCTGAGCTCGACTTTCCTCCTGTCGGACGCGTTGAAGATTGAAGTTTCGAGCGTGTCTGGCTGGAGTCACTGCAAAACGGTCGAGACACTCATTAAATCTCTGCGAGTGAGCGCTGAGGTGGGAGGATCCCGAGACAACTAATAAGAATCCAAGCTCTCTAGGATGCAGATTCCTAGACGCACGCTCTCGAAAGAAGTGAGCCTAGATAGATAAAAAACACGCCAGAATTTATCCGATTATAGATATTCCTTTGACCAAGAAAACAATTTCACGCGCTCTCAAGCAGGCCCTCGAGTTGACGAAGCCCCCCTCCTCCGCAAGACGGGACCACGAAATTCGACGACGACACAATCAATCAACCATGCTCAATCGCTAGGCAAGAGTCGACGGCAATAACTTACCCACGGGAAGAGAGTTGACATTCTGAGGTGCACCTTGAAACGATTGTGCAGTTAAGAAAACGTGCTCATCACTCATCACATGCGTGCGGACGGACAATCGCTAAAGATAGTGCGCTCAAAAAACACAACCGAGCTAGACAGCCTTCGTCAGTTCCCCCCTTCCCGTCAGGAGGCGTCGATCAGCAGGATTAAATACTTTGAGGCAATCAACGAGACAATGAGTTCTCGTAGTCGAAACGTTAAATTTGGTTACTACGCACGGCCAGCTGATCAACGATCGAGAAATACGCGACACACAAATTAGAAAACATCGCCATGAGAAGCTGTCAAAGGCCTAAGTCTACCCGATACGGTGATGGAATCGAGCAACACAATCGAGCAAGCAAATGATTCTCATGAATGACGGCGTACTCACTTCTCTCATGATGAAGCCCTCTGCCAGTCAAGCAGAACTGTGTAACGACGCCGATCAATATGAGACCCGGCCATAGACCCATTGCCGCCCAAGAGAACCAGCAAACGGGTTGCGGAGTTTTCAACGAGATCATTGATAACACCCAGTGACCCATTTTCGCTCGAGACAGAAAATAGTCCGCCGAGAGCGCGATCAACGCTCCGCCATATGTCGACGATCCAATTATGGTGAGTCCTGCGTAGAAACACGTAGAATATTGAATTTCTCCAGTTTTGAACTGATTCATCGGCCGGAAATTCCACGAGGACTGTGTGTTCGACATGAATGAGCTAATTCCGTAATTGATTTTCCCTCCGCCGCGGCTAAGACCCTACAGCTACAGCTGGGATCTGAGCAAATCTGTCAGATTAGATCATCTTGAATCAGAGCATCGATGAGCGACGGGACGCAGAACTCATGGCAAGTCCTTATTGGATCAGCACAGAGCGATGATACGTTAGCAATGATACGGAACGCCAACTTACCTTTTTGGAAGTAGAGATTTGCCATCGAGCCCGCAATACCAGATGCCATGAATACTCCGATGCAGACCCACATCGTATCTGGAGTCTGTCCTAATAACCTGCTGACGACGATCCCTGCTATGCCTCCGAGTAGACCCGTGTGGAAGCCGAGGACGAAAAGCCCCACATGCTGTACGAGCATCGTAATCAGCCCGAATAACAGTCCCGCACCGACGGACACCCCGACGTTCCCGAACATCGGCAAGAGATCTTCAACTGTACAAATCTGTGAAATCAAGAGATTAAAAATTCTGACGGTCGCACGTGGGCATACCGACGTGGAAGAGAACATGCAAGCTTGATAGAACAGATGGTCTGGCTCGTGGGGCGGGAGCGCCCACGTTCGGCTGGGATGAAGTTTTTTGGAGGATTGCCCATGGGTATAGAACATGTTCTCGAGCGAACCCAACAAACAGGTTTGGCCCTCTGGACTACAAATGATATCCATCCTGATCGAACATCCAGCTTTCTTGCTTGGTAATATCTCAGAGTCTTGCAGCCATTCCCCCTTCGCATCAGTTTAATTGAAACCCTCAGGGCACGGTCGGAGCTCTCCCGTGTAATCCGAGTTTGCCCCCGCAGCTCCGGAAGCGTTCAATAAGGGAAATAAGAAAGCGGAGGTCATCGATGAATCGGGAATCTAGCATAGAGTAGAGCGTCCAAAGGAAATGCAATCGACTAACCTTATACACGATGAGTGTAGCGAATATGTAACCCGTGAGACCCATCGTCGTTTTGAATGCTCGATAGCCATAGAGAACAAACATTAGCCCAATCAACGCCAACGTTGTGTACAGGGACGCTGTCGGGACCCCGTAATCGAGCGGAATCGTCTCGCAATCGGGCAGCATCCCCGAGGACACATTGTAATCGTGTGCCTCGTCGAAGAACTGATCCGTGTGGCGCGTGAAGTCTCCCATTTCAGACTCTGCAAGAGAACAAGATATTCAATACTAATTTCTGGCCAGCAAATCCTTCGGAAACAATCCCATCCGTTTCAGAATCCACCTGGGTCGCGAGGCTTCAAGAATCTGATTCTCGATCGGCGTCAACACCATGAAACGCTGGGCAGACGTTACGAAAAGGTCGAAGGCGCTCGTATGCGTGCATGCCTTCGAGCTCGCAAACACTCTGAGACGGCACAACAGGCTCATTAAGAGGATCAGAGTGTCGAGCCCCACGCCCATTCGAGACCGCGCAAGATTGCGCCCGCTGGCCTGCCGACGTTGTTACGTTGCCGGATTCCCCCTTTCCTCTTTCTTGCTAAAAATAGATTCGATTCTTGGAACTCAATTCGGGAAAATCGCTCCGGTGAGGTTCTGCGCTCATGGCCTGGCGATGTAGAGGACGGCTGATATCGAACCATCATGTTCTGCTCCCGGACCTCGGAGTTTTCCTGTTCGCGCGACAGAGAACCACACCCATAAGCGGATCGATACCTTCCTAGATACATCAGGAGCTGTGAACACGATCAAATGCAGAGATTTGGGAATATGCCATGGGTTTCAAATAAAACATGTCGAGCCACTCGACTGACTGTTCACGCTCCGGGTGTTCTTGACGAGTCGGATTCGATAGCTAGTTATCAATCATCCATCGATTGAGCTCGAGTAGGGCTGATAATTTTTCGATTCAGGCAAGGCATCGCCGATCTTGACTTGTTGAACTAGATGAAACGCCTTTAGAGATTCATCATTCCTCGCCGAAGTGTTCCCCGATCGGATTCCGAAGGAGCTCACCGAAGTTGAGAGGATCCAGAAAATGAAACTCCCCGAAATCTCCGGCCGTGTTTGTTTTTGAGCCGCCAGCTTTGCCACGGAACGGTATACTATCCTTGGTGAGGAGTATTCTGACAGGTGATAGTGGCAATTATCGACAAGTGCTACGCTTGGATTGGGACATGAATTTTGTAGGGTGGAGACTCAAATATTCATAACCGAAATTAGGGGCTAATGTTTGTATAACCACCGCCGCTCGATACAGATCAGAATTTCTGGCTTCGCTGACGGCTCACAAAACATCCAGATGGCAGACCTCATAGAGAGGAACGAGGTCGCTTGCTGGAATAAGACCAAGATATGCACAAGTTCCAAGATCCGAGTCTTCGGGGAGAATCAAGAGTCGCGCGGAGAATATGCCTAAAAGACAGCTGGGCGAGCTCCAAGGGCACCCGGAGCTGACTGACACTCCCATTGATTGAGTTGAGGCTGAGAATATTTAGAAAATAATGAGCAATACAATACGGAACTCACCTCATCTAGCTGCGAAAATGTCAATGTTCGCTCCACGTTCTCATCGCAGACCTCCCGTGCACCTCGTCGAAGGCGAAAGGCTTTTTCTGTGAAAGAAAGAGAAATGAGGTGAGTCAATGGATTTTGCGTCGAGCAAAGATCGAGTAGAAGACTCGGGGGGAAAGTCTCAGTTCAACATCCGAGGCCATTCCCAGATTTGACCGGAGTCCCAGCTCCGTCAATATCTTGTCGCCATCGCTAGGCTCCAGGTCATCGGCGATTCCGCCACAGGCTTTTCGCAATCGTTCGCAATCATGGTGATCCAGGTCAAACAAATGTCGCAAAAGTTTCAATGTGGCGTGTTGCTGCGACCTGACGATGAGGAACTCGGCAGCGTGGCCGGCAGCCTGCCTCAGGTCACTTCCGCATTCACAGAGCGCTAGCGCAGAACGGCTTAGGTTTCAGGTTAGCGGATAGATAGACAGTTAGAGGGTTGCCCGACCAAACGCCTGGCCGGTTCGTAGCCAGCTAGACCACGAAACCGATGTACTGACTGACTGACTGAGTGACTGATAGATGGCTTGCCGCATTCTAACAAAGTCAGCGAAAACGGCTCCCTTAAACCTTTCGGAAAGCAAGGGTTGCTCTGACGGTGGGTGGGTGGCATTTCCACACCGGTGACACTCCTGCTTCGATACTTTATGTTTTTGCTACCGACCTGTCGTCCAAATAGTCTTATAGTCTGAGGAGTTGTCTAGAAATCTCACTTCACCGTATAACTTGGTGGGCGAGACCGAGAAATTTTGAAGCGATCGCAAAACATTTCCGAGTCCCTTGATCCGAAATTTCGAAAATCGACATGCGTCTTGTTCCCGTAATACTTGCTCACATCAGCAAGCGAAGAGAGACTTCAACTTGAAATGCTGTCTCCCGCAAGTCGTTTCGATTCGACAAAGGGGAAAGAGCGAGGGGTCTATACCGCATTGGCATGGTTTCAAAACATTCCCAAAAATGCCAATGCAAGGAAAGCAGAATAATGTCGAACGACCAGTAGATAACATGCTGAATCCCGCCCCCGCGATTGGCATCGCAATCGACACGCGGACTCGGGGGAAAAATCCCCGATGCCCTAATAAGTCTTGCAGAACAGATTCCTTCGGTGCAGCGGAATCAGATAGTAGAGTCAGAGGCGTTCGATAAGACAGTCTTGACGAGCTTGGAAGACTAATCACGATTGGGGCCTCACAATCGGAGGGCTCCGCAGGTCCCTCGAATTATTATCGGTCCAGCCCGCGGGATGCCCTCGTCGAGTCGGTGATTGGTGATCAGTTTTTTCATTAGTATTCATTGCGATTCCGCGGAGGAATGGCCATTGCGGACAGCACAGGAGAATTTCGTGGTGAAATGAGGGCGACTGCGCTCTCTCGTCGAGGACGTGCACCCAAAAAGTGATTTTCTAATTAGCCCAGTTCCCCTCCCGAGCACTCCAATGAGTCACAGATGTGAAGGGTAGAGGAGGCGACTGAAGCGTATGCGAGAAACAGTCAAAGGCGCTTATATTTGTCTGTGCACATACATATATGTTGGGCTTATCATGTATGCGTATGGGGGGTATGGGCAGGCACGGCAGCCGCAGCACATTATATGACTCATTCGGCGAAGCTTGAGCCACGCTCGCGCCGATAGCACTCCCAAGGGACGAGGGTTTTCGAGGATTCCTGGCTTTTGGACTCGTAGGTGTTGCGCCGATGACGATGAGGTCGACCCGGAATGCTCCATACAGATTTGGGAGCCGAATCGACCGATGAGAGAGCGAGCGTTCTCCTCGGAATGTTTCGGGGCATCTCGGCGAGAGCTTCTAGGGTCAGCAAGAATCGTGAGATAGGCTCGACGGTCATCGAATCCGAGAGATCCGAGGGCCTTCAAACTCCAATATCGAGGAATCTCGCGGGACGCAATCCTTCGGATACCTCGTCGTACGAGAGAGAATTTCCACGTCGGAGTGAAACCTACCAAACTCGTTTTTGATCTTCGAATTCCCGTCTCCGTAGGATGGTCGGGTGCGAATTTCAACCGTCGACCGGTCTTTGACAGCTACGGTTTGGAATTGAACGACCGACGGCAAGCAGATATCTCGGTTTCCAAAACCAACATTGCCTGCGGTCGAGTCAACTGTGAAACAGCTCATCCGGCAAGCGTTGGATAGGGAAGATGACGACGGGCTACTCGGAACCGTGCCGAGACCACGAAACCTGTTCTACTCATGTGAAACCCTTCAATAATGAATTTATTGCTTGCTGTCGACCTTTTCCCTCATCGAGGTCGAATCGAGTCTGCGACCAAGTTGCCCCGGTGGAAAAGTTAAGTACCCACATTCCCTCCATTTTTCTCTCTCAATATCTTCACCGCGATGGCTGGGTCTCGAGATTCAAAGATGATGGATTCTGTGGGTGGGGTCGTGGTCTAGCCGTATCAGGCCGTCAGAAAAACTTTCGCTCCTCACAACGTAATACGTGATCCACCAGGAAGTGGACAGAGATCGATTCGGATGTCCACGCGCAGCCGCACCAGAGAGACTGCGTAGTTTCAGTCAGAGTGGATGATTTCCAAGCTCGCCCCTTTCGCGCTCTGCCGAGTTCGCTGTGTCCTCTGGTGACGACCGATCGTCCGTTTCTGGCAAGTCTGTCCACGATGGAATCTCCGATATTAGGGAGAATAAGCCTGGCTATGTCGACAGCTAGTTTCCTCAATTTGCGCCAGAGTGCTCGACTGTATTCCGCCATCGTCGAACGCACGTCCATCAGATTCCTTCTGGAGGAGTGCCTCGCCTCGTCGTGCCGGTGATGCGAAGTGGATTCCCCGATGCTCGTTTTCTCCGGCCAACCGACAACGAAATTTTCCAGCGAGCATGCGAGCGATAGACACTTCCTCATATTCCGGTGGGAAGAATGCCGCAACGTTCGTCCGACTTTTTTCTGCGCGCAGAAAACGTCCATTTACACTGATGCGCCGGCACCAAATGCGGCTGTGGCATCGCTCGCTGGATCAGCAACGGCGGACTTGTCGGTAGAAGAAACGAAACAAACTGACCACCAGAACTACCAGCGGCCGGAACACGCCACCGTCGGAATCAATTGGTGACCGAGCGAGTGACGACTACGAGTTCCTTCAGAACGCCGGGATTCCCTGAGCGGCTGCCGTTTGCCCTCTTTACGTCTCGCTGATTTAAGTGACATACACGCGGAAAGATACATTTATATAAATGTCCTGGGATTTAACGGAAAATTGAAGCAACAGGGAATTATTAGAGCAGTAAAAAATATGTCCTCGTTCCGAACGGCCGCTTCCATAGGCGAATTTCAATCAGCGGACTGTTTGTTTTCCATGAAACAGCTCTGCGTTCGCGATCGTTCTCGATTCGATCTATCGCGATTGATCCGGTGCTTCCCCATGGAGATATCAGGCCTGGGGAGCTATTCTGCGCTGATCGAATACCTCGACGATAGCCGACCCAAGCCACGGGTATACCTTAGTCCTCGCAAGAAACATAGGTACGATAAAATCGCACCTTATCCCAAGCACCCAGAATCGCAGCCCCTCAGCCTCAGAGCCTGGCTCGCGCTCTGGGAGATGCAGCCGCCGCGTCTGATCCATGGATTCCGCTCATTCCCGTGTTCATATTGTCAGAA